AGATGTGAATGCTTACCGGGATATGTGGGCCAGCACTGTGAGCAGGACTATAATGACTGTTTGGAGAATAAATGTCAACATGGCGCAGAGTGTGTGGATGCTGTCAACGGCTATACCTGCGTCTGTAAAGAGGGTTTCAGGTGAGAAGCATCAAAACAGCTCTGATAGAAATATAGTCAATCTCCGAAAGACCAGACTGGGAGGACAATACAGATGGCTCTTCATAATAAGGCACTTGAGTGTTTCAACCCACTGAGTGCACGTGTGTGTTTGTGTTTGTGCGCAGCAGATGCAGCACCATGTGGTTAATTATACCAGAGACTGCTGGCGAGAGCGACACAAATTCATCACAAGGGACAGAAATGTAAAAAGGGCGAGAGAAAGTCATAAACATTCAAGAAACAAATATAAAATATTGGAGATGCAGATTTTATGATTAAATCCAAGTACAAATTCTGAGTTCTACTACATTAAGAAGGTCCAAAGAGACTGTTCACTCTGTCAAACTGAAAATGTTTCCATTCTTTCAGCAAGATTACTCACAACCAGTGTATCTTTCAAGTGCAATCCAAGGAGACAAAATTCAACAACTTTTATTAGGGGCTACAAGCACAACAGATCACTCAGTTGGAGCTTCATGAATAAGTTAACCTCTGTTTAATCTGTTTCCCCTTCAGCGGGCTCTTTTGTGAGAACCCCCCGCCAATGATCTTGCTGCAGACCAGCCCCTGCGACCAGTCTGACTGCCAGAACGGTGCCCAGTGCCTGGTGGTTGCTGGGGAGCCCATCTGCCGCTGCATGCCTGGCTTCTACGGCAATAAATGCGACAAGATGGCTACCGTTCACTTCCTGGGTCGGGATGGGTACGTGGAGCTGCCAGGCGCAAAACTGCGCCCAACTGCACATATTTCATTACAGGTGGGTTTACCCTCTGAACTCTGGTCATGCAAGTCGGGTTTACAGACCGAAGCGCAGATCCTGGAGGCCTACAAATTCTCTTGCATAGTTTATAACATTCAAAGTTATGCGCACAGTGAAATTCTCTGAGGAGCTTTTCAGAGAGCATGTTGGGCTACTTGAGTTTTTCAAATTAACCCATTAAAGCTGTGTAATGCAAAGTAAATGTCTGCTACACCCTCTGTTACCATGGCCCACTGAACACTCGTGCCCACTTGTGCCTGTGAGCACAAACACTCACTGATCGAACCAGAACATATTTTTTCTGGACACTTGAGAGTTGGATCCTAATAAAGACATATTTTCTTCCTTCTGGATAGGGAAGTGCAACTAGAGAGAAAAAAAAAAGGAGAGCAGTCTAATTGAAATTTGCCACCTGTTTGGATCCATGTGAGGATTTGTAGGTGTTAAGTGTGTTCTTGATTGTGCTCTTGCCACAAGCTTTCAATGTTAATGCCAAGGTTGTTTTATCTCTGCTGGGAGACTTGACTCAGAGGTAAGAAAGAGAAACAAAACTAAAATGTAGAAAGAAAGAGATACAACGCTTCCTAAGTCAAATTGTGATTTTTCTGTCTCTTTAAATTCTCTCATTCCTTCAAGTCTGCATTCTGTTTTGACTACACTTGTATCTCTCACACTTCTCCTGCCTCCTTTCACCTTTCCTCCCTCTCTTTGTTTCTTATACGTCTCTCTCCTTCTCTCTTTTTACCCTGCCGCACGGTCTTTATTTTCCAGCAGCTTGTTAGCAGGTGTTGACTTGGCTATGCTCCATTGACGCCAGAGTGTTAAGTGCTTGGCCCCCGTGGCCCCATTTCCACTTGCTAGTTAGTTAGCGCTTAGCAGAGCAGCCGAGCAAGTGTGACACATAGAGTGTGTGTCTGAGAAAAGAAGTCAATTTACCTGCTGTGAGGAAGTACATCGAGTAAGGTGGAAATTAACCCACCCCTTCGTTCTCTTGTCATTCATCACTGCTTTGATCATGCGATGTTACATGCAATTAAAGGTCCATTTTCAATGTCTTTTATGTATTACACGCAAACGACTTGCAGGTGAAGTTAAACTTGTTACAGAATAATGTGCTGCTGAGAATCCTCAGGTACTGACATTCATTTACATGTTTCTTTGTCCCATATAAACACTAGGCTCCAGCCCTGACACACTCACACTGATCTAACTCAGAGGCAATTTTGAATCTGTGCCATGTACGCAAGACAAAAGTTTTTCTTTGTTGATTTTGGGAATTCTCATTACATAATGTGTGATTCCACAGGGTATTATAATACCTTACATACATTTGGCAGCTTTGGAAGCTAGACCCTGCTTTGTACGCAATAAAAACTTTAGGTATTACTTATATTTTTATACCACCAAACTGCATATTGTCACTATGTAAATTTGACCATCTGTTATGTCGATGTGACTTTAAAGTGAAAGTTGTGTGTATTTTTCTAACATGTATGTTTTTTCATAACTTTAGGTGGCCACAGATAAAGACAATGGTATTCTGTTGTACAAAGAGGACCACGACCCCCTGGCGCTGGAGCTATATCAGGGACACATAAGACTCATTTATGACATCGCCAACTACCCACCAACCACTGTGTATAGGTAAGCCACACACATTAGTAAAAGGTCCTCCCTCACAGGCATACAACTGTCTTTTTCTGTCTTCCGTGTCCGTACCATGAATAAGCCAAAGATGTGTGAGACGGATATGGGATAAAGAATGGATACCATTTTGTCTCAAGGGATATAAGTCCTTATGCAAGCACTGACTGAACTGATATTGCCTGTGCAACAGGTGTATCCCTACCAGTAGTAAATCCTTACAGCGCCTTTTAAAAAACACAGAAAACTAGGACTATTTGTGCAATGATGGGCTTAATGTAAACTTCAATAAAACATGAAGTTTTTTTTTTTTTGCATTATAGAATTAATCACTGTTTTTAATCTAACTCCTTACAATCAACAGTTAAGTCATGTGGCATTTGCCTACTGGAAACTGATTCATTTGGCAGTTATAAGCTGTTAATGGCCAACCAAAATAGACATAGGCAATAGATGTCAAAATGGTTGCATTTTTTCCTACATTTACTCTCTGTGTACACAGATGCGTTCACATTTCTGTTAATACATCTGATCTGCACTTTGTCAGTCATTGTCAAGTGGATGCAGAAATATATAATTTGGGCTTTAGAAGGATAGTTTGTATGTGTTTATTCTCCATGCTGTGCATCTGACATGGTGTCGGCATTATACTTTAACAGAGAGTTGCAGCTGCTGCCATTTTTTACACGCTCTCTGCAATTAAGTATAGTTTAAATATTTGTCGAGTGCAGTTTATCATTTATAATAACATGTTTAGATAAAACTGAGCCAGGCAGATCGAGATTATTTTTCATAGCTTCCCTTTCAAGGATTCTCAGTTTAAGCCTCGGCACCGTGTCTGAGCCAAACAGTATGGATAGTAATAAGAACAATTTGCTACCCAAGTTTCTCTAGTTTAATGTCTGCTTTAGATTTGTAGTCTTCTCTACTCCTTTTCTGTGGTGTCATTCTGTTTTTCTCAGGGCTTTGGCTTGTTTATGTGGTATTTTGAAAAAATGTGTGAGCCACATCCTCAGTGTGACATGTCAGTGTTAACAATGCAGCATATTCTTAAAAAGATTTTAAAAAATAACAGGAGGAGGGGGTCATTACAAAAGACGAGGGGATTAAAAGAAGGAACAGAAATGCTGGTAGGAATAGAATTAAAACCTGGCACAGATGGGATGTGAAGGATGAAAGCGTTCATTAAGTGAAAGGACATCCAAAGGTGCAGGGTTATTAAGAGATGGATATAAAATAATAATGTATAAAATTAATGGAAATAAAGAGAGAGACAGATCAGCCCATAGGCAAAATCAAAGAGACAGAAAAATACATTTGGATTGAGTGGACCTGAGCAGATGCCTGAAATAAGATTACAACAGATAACTTGGTAGAATACATTGCCTGAGATTAAATATAACAGATAAATAGAAGCAGGCAAAATGAGAAAAACCATGAAATGTGGTGGAACAGCTAGATGGAAGGACAGGGACCAAGGGATGAAAGGGGGATGCAGTGAAAGAGGTGGAAGACGAGAGGAGAAAAGGAAACCACAGACCAAGTTAGGGAATTATCCCTGTCTGGTTTTGTTAGCCTGATGTGGGCCACGCCTGGGAGGGAGACAGACTGACTGATAGCCACAGCCCAAGAAAGACATGGGGGAAGAAATTGTAGAATGAGAAAGAGTACAGTAGCACAGGTGGGGCAAGTAAAGTGAGAGATTCAGAATCTGTCACGCAGGGGGAGACAACAAAAGAATGAAAAATGAATGCTAAAAGAGCAAGAGAAAGATACAAAGCAACATAGAAGCATGGCTGAGCATAATGCCTGGTGTTGTGCAAAGTTATGTTGAGCATTAGCAATCTGGAGGAGTCTAATCCTGAGGCTCATTTTACCACATGCTTTACTTTGAATCTACCAACATTTGATTGCATGACTATTGAAAATGACCTATCTTATCTGTCTTAATTTGTAAGTACATTGTACTCTTACTCAAACCACATGGCTCGGCAGGCAGAGCAGAACACCAGAATGGCAGCAATCTGTGCAAAGCATTTCTGGCACATGTTAAACGTGGCACTGTCTCCACATATGGAGAATCAAGGATTGTATTTCTGTTCCCAAAGGTACAGTTTTCTTAAAAGTAATCTGTAGTGTGCACAAATCCAAATTTCCACTAAATTCTCCTTTGAAAATCCTCACTAACCTTATGTTGCTCTGAAGTATTCACATATAGCAAGACTATACATTGCATGTATGAGGGTGGGCCCTGGTTTGAACCATGGATATGCAAACAATCTTTTCTGTCTGGAGTTCAAATGTTCTTTACGTGCCTAAGCTGGCTTTGTCTTCTTCAGGGTGAGGACCAAAGTAACTTTGAAACCAATGAACTGGTGTTATTCCACCACTTCTTTGGCTTAAAATGTTGTTTGCTGTGCAGTTTTAATTTGAGTGTTTTACTATCCAAAACATTATACTGGGTCAGGATTTGGTAGTTTCAACATTTTATGTCATCTGATTGGTCTCCATGATCCTGACTTCATCTTGGATATCTTATTTGATTTTAGCAAACCAGCTCAGAAAAAAAATTAAACTTAAATTAAACATAAAACCTACATTTCTAAACAGTTTTGAATTGATAAAACATTTGCACAACTACTACGTTGGTGTTTTGTCTATGTGTTGCTTCTCGAGCTACTAAAAACTCTACAGGGGATTATTATGTTTGCTTTATAAAAAGGATATGTTGACCAGGATAGAGGACAGCCAGAAGTTCAAACATATGTCATGTACACACAAGAGCATGTGATAAAGTATCGTACAGCACGCAAAAGTATCAAGAGGACATGGGAAAAAGAGCAATAACTAACATTAAGAAAAAAAAAAACAGGAAAAACAACATGTTGAAGGGGGAATGGGTCAGATTTGGGGGAAGTGACCGGAGAGAGAGAAAAAAGGTGTACAAGTCCTTCACTGTGCCCTCATTAACAGCAGATGAAAGAGGTTACGCGTGCCGAGTGTTAAATGGACATTTGTGTGAGGAAGAAGAATACAGAGCATGTGTTTGTTGTGTATTAATTCAATGCCCTTTATTAAATGTCACACTAATCTCCCATCAGGTCAAATAGTTATTCACCAGAAAGCAGAGGGAGGGATGCAGAGGTTGATTTGCCCATGAAAGGGTTGATGACTAAATAGGCTGGAAAGAGAGAAAGCAAAGAAAATTAAGAGGATGAATGGACTAAAGATGAAGAGGGTTTAAATTAATGGAAAATTATCCTTTTTATCTGTTTTGAAGAGGGTTTAAATTAATGGGAAATTATCCTTTTTCTCTGTTTTGACTCTAAAACAGAAAAATATGCTTTTCTTTTTTATTGTGTTGCAGAGATTTCTACAGGAAAGAGCAGTCACATTTCTTGCCTCCAGCTTGCACCATTTGTGATACTTTCATTTTCAAAGCATTTTGTTTGTAAAGTCACAACAAAAAAAAGCTGAATGGGAAGGTTATGCTCATGCTTTTGAGAAATGCCTTTCTAATAGATTTGCATTCCATAGATGTTAAAACAAAGTGACAGATCATCCGGCCTGATTGTGCAGCTACGCAGACAATGCTGCAATACTGTCCTATGGAAATATCAGCAAGTTTTGTTTATGCTTATTATTCAAAGTGAGAAAAAGTGTTCCTTCTATTTAGTATTTTGTTCCTATTTTTCTTTCTTTTATTGTTTTGTGTGAAAATTCAATCATGGGACAGAATAAAAACAAAAAACTACTCATTTCCACAATTAAGTACACAGCTACACACCTACTGTAACAGGAAATTTTGTTTGTGTGGCTTCCAGAACAAATTGAAAAAATTTAAATTTAAAACTCCCAGCAGACAGAATCTCTTTGTATTCAGCCTCTGATAAGCATCCATTTTTTCCACACTGTTTCTATTGCAATCCAAGGTTTTTAAAAAGCTTCTTTGCCCAGCTTTGGGTGAAAAAGGGGACTGAATGTCTGACCTGGATTAGCCTCCTTTAAACCACAGTGCAGCGGGTAAAGATACACAATCCTTGAGTATTTGAACAATATAGGTTTAAATACTAAAAGTCAACGGAGACATTTTAATACTAAATCTTATGAGGCCTGAAACAACACGTATTCATTCCTCGGGCTTGACATCAAAACATTGAGAATCAGCTCTGGAGAGGTACAAATTTAATCTGAACTGGCCAGGCTGGTTTAACGAAAGCTAAAAGAGAGGGAAGGAAAACAGCAAAGGAGCTCTCTGTTCTGCAGCTGCCATCTCAGCAATGACTAATTGAGGTTACCTCGGTAATATGGAACTGGGATGCCTGTCTGCTGAGCCTCATGTTAATCAGATTGGGCAGTTTAACACACATACTTTTCTACACATATAAATGCAAAAGCACACACACGAGGTTGTATATCTTCTCACAAACAATAAAATCAATACAAAACAGACTTAACATCCAAACAAACGCATTCAGTATGTTACGGAAATATTTGCACAAGCTTATGCACAAATGAAGCAAATGGAGTTTGCAAACATTGTATTTAAATGATGGCAGTGCATAATAAGATCTCATGTAAATGGGTCTGCACAGATGTTTCTAATCCAAATATTGTCTTTTTTTTTGTTTTAGTGTGAGATGAAGTGAATGGGTTGTAATTACATCTAGATTTGCATTTGAATTAGTTCTATGAAAAAAAATCCTGTTTTTGGTTTTAGGAAGTCCCTTATGGTTTTTATGTGTATATGCTCAGTGAGGACTGTAGACTAACAGGAAATGGATGTCCTTTGTGGGTTTGTACGAATACCATGAGTGAGGGGAACTCATAATCTGCTGTGTTTTCATATTTGTTTTATTGAATTCTTTAATGGGCTTTACACTTGGCCAACAGTGCTAGCTTCAAAGAACTTAAAATATACAGTTTAGTCAGCAGACATGCTCAGACATAATGACAGTTTATGAAAAAAAATTGAAGTATTCCATGTTGACCATTCAAAAAACAAGTTGATTAAGACCATGTGAATTCATATAGATGCATTTACATAATTTAACTTATGTAACAACATACGAATAACAAATAAAAGCAGATAAACGTTTAATTAGGGCTTCTCGTCAGTGCCCGCCTCACTAATAATTTCCCATCATGACAGACTTTAAACTCACCTGCAGGTGTTATTTGGACTTGGACACGCAATACATCCACTGCCACCTGGTGGAGCTTTCGTCTCACGACAAGTTTGTTGCTCAATGTGTGCCTGCTTTTGCAAATGCATATCAGGTGTGTATATGTGTAATGTAAAGATAAAAAGGGAGTCTTGTGTGGTAGGTAGTAGATTGCCATTCTTTACGCCAGCAGGTGATCGTTGAACTTGGCCATATCTGGGTTTCTTTGAGGACATTATTAAATTACACGGCTCCTAATGGAAACTATAAGGGGTCTGAGTTGGGTCTACAGAGTTTTTTTTTTCTTTTTCAGCTACAGTGTAGCCACAAGTCAAACTATTTCCAAAATAGGCATTTGTTGTTTTGTTTTTTCTTTCTTTTACTGGATTTTACTAATGGCAAAAAAAACATTTAAATTGTACATTTTTAAATCTAGATGCTTAGAGGTTATAAAGTTTGAATTCATACCTGTGTTCTGTTTGGGCAGAATAATGGAAAGTGGAGAACTTGGGGTCAGTCAGTGGTTCATAATAATGCCTGACTCTTTAATAGCTCCTAGCATGTCCTTGTGTGTGTTGTAACCCTGATCTCTTCTCTTCTTTGGTTTTCTCCTTTTGAGTGATCAGCACTTTCTATGCAAGCCGTACTGGCCCACCTCCAGAACTCACAGCCCTGCTCCGCTGGCTGTTAATGCAACATCACTGTAATCTGAGCACTCTATAAACAACTGTCAATCAGAGCTGACTCAAGGCTCTTTAGCTAGTTAGCCAGTAAGCGACTGCAGACAAAGGGAAGTGTTGTCTTGGTGTTTAGCTGTGGGAGTCTGTGCAGCAGACCACCAGCGGAAAGAGCAGCTTCTCTTGTTCTCCTCTGTTTTTGATGTTCTGCTAGAAATCGGGTGAATGGAGGCATAGTCAACTTTACCACCCCACCACCTACCTCTCTGTCTCCCACCCTTGTACTCTCCCCTTCTTTTGGCTTTGCCAAACCACTGTCTCTATAGCTGTCTGTCACCCCTCCAGCAAAACCACTTTGCAGAGAATCTCAGACACACACATTCTCACACTAACGCATAGTCTCTTTGGGGTCATATATGGTGCAAAAGGTCATGGACGTGTATTCTGTTAATATTTATTCATTTAAAATATGAATCAATTTCAGTAAAAAAAATATTTTTCTTTGACTGAGTTTAGATTGTGAATAGTTTACAACTTGTTTTACCCCAAAGTGCACTTATGAAATCACTCTGGGCCCTAAACCTGTATATTAAAGGACTATAACTTTAGATCAAGATCACAAACACAGACGAAATGAAGAAAATAAGTGTTTGACTTGAAATTGTTTGTAGTCTGACTTTTCCAGTTTTCATTTTTTCCCCTCTATAACTTTCTCATCTGGTATAGACCCCAGCAGTAATTTGTCATAATATGAACCACAGTAAAATCTAATTTTTCTTCCATTTGCTTATGTGTTTGTAACAGCGTCGAGTCAGTGAATGATGGCCTTTTCCACACAGTTGAGCTGTTGATTCAGAACCGCTCACTGAGCCTGGTGGTGGATAACGGTGCCCCGAAGAGCCTGGGCAAGCTACCCCGCCAGCCCTCCGTTGACCACAACACTCAGCTTTACATCGGAGGTATGCACACGCAAATAAAGTGGTAGACATATGCACGAAGCACACAATACCTTTGCTTGGCCTTTACTGCTTTTGCAATCATACAACACGCAACTATGCACACGCACTAAATCCCAGCAAGGGTTGTGGTGGGGAAGTGGAAAACTGTTTTTTTTTAAATATTGCTGAAAAGAGAGAGCAAGACAGGCCGCCGAGAACAGCGAGCCTTTTTCCCCTCAACTGCTACAGAGAAACGTTATGTTATTGTGCAATAGGAGAACTGTAATCCTGTGTTCTTGCTGGAACAATGTATTTTTCTGTATGAGCCAACTGAGAATGAAACCAGACAGCACTGGGGAGTGCCAGTCCTGCTCTCAGTATGCTACGGCTTTTCTTATTCCCATCAATTTCTTCCCATCTCTCCTCTCTCTCTAAACCCTAATTTTTCTTTCGTCCTTTTACACTTTTTGTCTTGTGTTTCGCTCCCAGGCGTACCATCCCAGGTGGTGGCCTCGGGCCTACGACTGGGCCCCGAGCGTGCCCCCCAGACTTTCAATGGCTGCATCCACAATGTTCAGATCAACTCTGAGACACAAGACTTAAGTCTTCGATACACAGGAGGAGGACGACAACAAGGGGTTCGAAGCAAGGTTATTATATACTGTATTTTTTCATTTAGCAAAATTAGGCCTTTTGTGATTATTACCAAACAAGATATAAATGTTTTTAACTTAATTGTAATATATTGTAATTATTTAAGGCTTTACAAAACCGGTGTCTCCTCTTTTGTTCTTTCAGCAGGACGATGGCATTCTGGCAGGATGTCACTCTTGTGGTGTGTGTGCACAAGGTGCTTGCAGACAGGAAGGGGAAACAGGGGTCACTTGTGACTGTCCTCCAGGACGCGGTGGGGCTCTTTGTAATGAAGTGACGGCCTCTAATCCCTGTCAGGGCAGCAGGTGAGCCAAGGCGGCCAAAGACTCATTTATATAGGCTTTTTGCTTCCATTCTACATAATTCAACAGGGGAAAAGCCTCATGTCACTACATTTATTTAACCTTCCTCTGGTGCTAGGGTCGGCTCTGACCTATTTTTAGGTTTAACACTAAAGGAACACTAGAAGTTAACCCTAGAGAAAGGTTAAAGTTTTGGCATCTAACAAAAAGGAATGTGTAGCTTCTTCTTGATATTTCACATTTTTGTGTTTTCAAATTCCTGGCTTAAGTTGTCCACAGGCTGAAATTACATTTATGCCAAAACTGCATTGTGATGCTGTTTTTAATTAAAAAAGTATATCAGCTTTTTTTAATGTTTTACTTTTTTAATGAATACTTTAATTTGTAATTTCTCACGTAAAGGATTGCCATTCTTACAAAAGCCCCCATGAGACACAGCTTTTTACTTACAATGGTAATAAAACCCTCTTTCGTCTTCCTCCAGGTGTGTTCATGGCCTGTGTTTACCAAAGGGTCAGTCTTACAGTTGCCAGTGTAACGAAGGCTATCAGGGTCAGTTCTGCGACCGACGGCAGGAACCTGCGGCCTGCAGGGGTCAGAAATGTGGACGGGGCGAGTGTCGTGTGTCAGAAGGAGGCGAACCGGCGTGCCACTGTCAGCCGGGCTACGCCGGACCGGCCTGTGACACAGGTAAAACCAAAATATACAATACGAAATCCGGTCGGTGCATAAATCCGCAGGCAAATCATTTTTCTGTGTGTGTGTGTGTGTGCATGTGCAGAGCTCAAATGCCAGGGTGAAATGGTGAGGGAGCAGCTTAAGCGCCACCAAGCCATGAGAACATGCACGTCCACCAGCAAGATACCCCGCATGGACTGCCCCAGATCCTGCCAGGCTTCAGCGCCCCCTGGTGTCTGCTGCGGCGTCACCAAAAGCCGACGGAGAAAAGTGGTTTTCCGCTGCACCGACGGCGCCTCGTACTCCGAGGAGATGGAAACCGCTCTGGAATGCGGCTGCTCCAAATGCCCGTTGTAACGGCGCAGCAGTTTGTTTTGTATCTTCTGCAACACCCACCGCTGCCGTTTTGTGAATTCGACTCATCAACGAGGCTGTCGCTCCACACTGAGGAGCACCAGCACTGCCCGATCCGTTTCCAATTCCTGTTTGACCGCTGCCTACTTGTTGCCAAGAGAAGCCAAGAACAAAACAAATAATGGGACATGTGTGCGTGATTTTTGACAGAGAGAAAATATATTGTAAGATATAAGTGAGAAACATAGAACTTATTTTTATTATGGATTTTTTCTAAGATGATAAAAGGACTGATTGTTGTTTTTAATATGTTTATTATGTAATGTGTTGCATAGTATAAAAAAGTTATTTTCTGCCTTGTAAGAAGAAACAAGTACGCGATAAAATAGTTTAACATTCCTTAAAAATTCATGAATTTATATGTATGTGTAAATCTATATAAATATCTACCATAACCAAATTAATTTTATATCTTTGAAGTGTATTTGCATGATGTTAATGTGAGCGTTGGTGTGGAAAGCTGTGGAAACAGAGATGTGAGATAAGGAGTTCCACAACAAGGAAAAGCTAACCATCTTCACTGTGTAATGGACATCATCCTCACATGCAAGTTAATACAAAAGACTCTATTGAGGGGATTTAAGAGTAAGTTTGGGTATTCCTTGCATTCTGTAAGATTGCTTTTCTGCACCGAACCTGGAGCCACATGAGGTTTGAACTGAAAAGCTGAACGACACCATTATAAATCGGGTCTTCCAATTCGAATCAGTTTTAAGGAAAATATAACTGCAAAACTCAGCCTTACGTTAGTGATGAACCGAGATTCAAAACCTATGAGAGCCAAGACAGCTCCACTTGAGGTTGGGCAAGGTGGCACCTTAAGCAAGAAAGTGTTCACACAGCATCTGAATGGCTTTATTTTTCTTTGAACTGTTTACTCTCTTTTTGAGTGGACCAGGAAGCTTTTGATTATGCCTCAGTGGGTAAAACCAAACTTGCCGTTATTGCCTTAATTACAAGTATGTCAGAGATTTGTTTGTTTATTCAGTTCATTCTCTTGTGTGAATGGTGCAAATGCATTGCTGTTAGATTTTTAACAGCGGCCATTGAGCGAACGATCACCATGTGTCTCCATGACAACACACTGAAAACTTTATGATGGTCCACATTAGTTCCCAAAGGAAGTTATGCTGAAATGAGATCCCTCAGAGCGTTTTTTCTAATCATTGTCTTTGAACACTTTAAGAAAAGTGAACAAGCACCAGGTCAAACAGCAGATGTCTTAATGATGCAACAGGTTGTTTTAGTGTGAATAGTTTGTGGTAGGAAGTACACAATAGCCTCATTTTGAATGTGAAACAGAAGTGTCAACAGCTAAGAAAAAAAAACAGTGTTTAAATTTTTTTTAAAAAGGAAAAAGAGATCCAGAAGTGCCTTACTGTTGTACACAAAAGACACCTTTCTGATCTGATTTCAGTTAAGAAACTACAACACAGCGGAAACAAAACCTCCTAAATGGTACATTGATAGTTAACTGACACTATGAAAGGTATAACAGAATCAAAAATGAATAAATAAAAAATATTACACTACTACTGTACAGTTTACTTAATACATTGTTGCTTTGTTTACAATGAATGCAAAGTTTTGAGGTTTGCAACATATCAATGCTTTCCTTATCTGTTAATCTTAAGTCTGGGCTTTATCTGCCTGTACTTTTTCTTTTTTAGATACAGAAGAAGCACTGCTAGAAAGAATTACTGTTGTGTCGGTGATTCTCTCTGATTTCACCATCTTCCCTTTTTTTTGTTGCTGGTTCTTTGCTCTTCATCACATCTTTACCTGCTGCATCCCCTCATTTTTCTCCGCACCCCCCTTATCTGGATCCTAAGGTTTTGCTTTTCGTTTTCATTGTGAGCAGAATAAAACACCTGATTTTCAAGTGATTAGTTATGGACAATAAGATATACCTTAGGCACTTCCTTTGTAAAGATCCTAGATTTGAAAACCTTTTTAATGATTCATGATCGTGATGCTTATGTTGAATGTTGAAATTAAACTACCATTGAAACAACGGTAATCTTCAGTGTCCCAGTTCTTTACATTTGAATTAAATTACTGACAATTAAAACCATGGTTCTATAATAGTTTTTAGGTTAATTTGGAGGAAGAACATATTTAAATTTATATTTGCTGGCAGCATAACAAAGTAATGATAAAATGCCAGAAATGATCAAGTATTGGTATGAAATATCAATTGAAAATGGTTAAACGTGGTAAATCAGTCTCACCGTTTCCTGCCAGACTTCAGCAGGAGAAAAAAAACTTCATTCATTTCTCATTGATGTCATTCTGGTTAACACAACTCTCACAGGGTGTCTTCAAATTTCCCTTAATGGGGACACGTTTCTAATGGCTGATAATGGATTTAAGGTCGAAGAATCTTCATCTGCTTAAACTCGTTTGAAAAAGTCAGCTCAAATGACAGAATTAAACTTTCTCCAATATTGCAGATTGCATTCAGTTCACTGTTTTTGTGTGACTGAATACACCCTGGTTCACTTTGAGGATTTTGCGGGAATTCATTCCTTTTTGAGCAGAGCAATGAGCTCAGAAGAGTACAGTGTTTAATGAATAGTGTTTCTTCTCCTCTCATGCATGGTGATAAGTCTTTCAATGATCCGTACTTGGTCTGGTACATGGACATGGTAACATTATTCCATAATAAACATACAAACCAATTAACTCTGTTGTCGTGGTTTCTAAAGTAAAGGCTTGCATGCCAGTTCGTGACATCTGGAGGTGATCTTTAGTCCAATCAAAATTTTCACAGATTGCTAATAGCATACTTTTTCCGTAACGGCTCCAAGGAACATAAATCACAAATCTATAAGAGCTGTTTGGGCTGTTTTGTTGTTAAAGCCTGTTTTAGTTATTTTTTGGCGAAATTCCTCTGTTGACACTGTTTGGAATTTTGTAAACTGAAAAGTTTTGGAACAGCTGCTGGATTTCACTTTCATCACTTTAACACAAGTGTTAGTTTATGTATGCCATGGATTAGAGATTCTGCTTTATTTCTTAGTTTCTCTTAAGAAGACCGTTTAAAACAAAGTCAATGTTTGATATGAAAGATGGTGAATGTGGCTGTGAGTGTCTGATTCACAAGAAAATTCCCTTTTAACTTTTGACTTACTTTGGCAGGTGTGACTTATAGGTCACACATACTAAAAATACCATTTCTTCTCAAACTAACCAAAGAGCTCTAAAGAATATCATCATGGTGATTCTATGCTTGATCGATTGTGTGTGTGTGTGTGTGTATATATGTATATACTTTTCATAAAACAGTTCAGTTCTTCCTTTCATTGCCTTCCTTGTTGCAATGTACAAAAGATTGAGTGTTGCTCTCTTTTCTTGCTTTGAAATTTGCAATATGTATTGATGACATTTTCTCTTTATTGTATTCTTCTATAACTATGTGTGTAATTTGTTTGTGTGTATATGTGTGATATGCACAAAACTGTTGTGCATCACCAAGAAAAGCTAACCAGCCCACATACCACAGCTAACTAAAAATGAATGTGGTTGCTGATGTGTAAGCACTTGAGGGTGTTTATCGAAAGAAAAAGATGGAGCTGCATAAGCAAAATCTCTATTTTTAATTTGATCAAAAGTTAACTTATATTTCGGAAAATGACTACAAAGACAACTTGTAATCTATCAAACAAATACATCCATCTCAAGTTTGATCAATCTACACTTCATGGAAGGTGTCTATTGTCAGTCTCTAAATCCAAGAAGTATCTCAAGTAATGACCAATTAAAGATTTAATCAGCTGCAAAAATGTAAAGTTTTTAGCTTCTCTCTTTGTTGTCTCACTATGAGCACCCTCAAATGTTTGAACACAGTAAACATATAAATGAACAAAATATATATTTTTTGTTCTGTCTGGCATTGACACATTCAACATTTTTATTATTTAGATGATTTTATTTCTGGAGGAAAGTCATTTCCCACACATTTCCCACCAGTGACACTAAGATTAATGTCTGCAGACAGAGTGACTCAGGTGGTCGGTTTGTGGTCGTATATGGTGGTTGGATGTACAGAACATGCATGGGAGGAGCTTTCACGTGACAAAGAAACAACCTAATATAAGAATGAACAACTTGCAGATGCCTCATTGTCAGAGACATTCTGCGACCCAGGTATGCCTTGTTACTTTTTCCTTTTTTTAAAATTAAGATCAGTTACCTCATACAAAAACATATTGATAGAAACTGGACTTTTTTAGGAAGCATTGATAAGAATAAAAATCAAGCAGCTTAATTCTTCATTTTTAGCTAAAGTCAAACACATCACAAGTTAAATTCAAATGGGATTCTATGTTGTGCATGGAGGTTTGCTTTAACTATCTGTAAGCACACTTACACATTATGATAACTTACCTGTCTTTCTTTGAATATCAGTTTGGTCAAAGAACTATTTGATATCACAGAATCATTAAAGTTCAAATGTTTTCTTTTCATATAAAGCTTTTTTTTATGTATTATATTATTATATCATTGCAGTTACATTGTTTTAACTTGACAATACTGATTTTTTTCTCTTTTTTTCATCATGGACCTGTTGTGGTTATCTTTTAGGTTCAGTTCAGGAAACCTCCTACTCTCCACTGCACGCTCTTTGACTGCTGTCTATCTACACCAGGTACGACACTTGCTGCTCATAAGTACTTTATAGAAAAAACTGTCCTCAGCCAACAATTGTGGACACACCAACTTATCTAGAATTAAAGGCTATATATATATATATATATATATAAACAAAACAATATTTTTCCACTGTAGGTTTCCCTTTAATGCTGTCTTTATTTTTCCATCAGGAAATCATGAGGGTCCTAATTGTTTTTGTGTTGCTGGAGGTTGTTGTGTGTACCACGGTCTTTTTGGACAAAAAGACAACCCCGCCAGGGTACAAAACCTTCCTAAAACGGCATGTCAGAGGCACCATGAATGTCCAAGAATGTGATAATGCCATGCAAAGCATAAATAAAAAAATAAAGGAATGCAAGCCGAAAAATACGTTTATTCTAAGCACCAAAGAGAAAGTGAGATCTATCTGTCAGAGTGATGGAGAGCCGGCTGAAGAAAACATGACCAAAAGCCGTGAACGATTTGAAATTATTGTGTGTAAAGTAAAAAAGGTCGGAAGGCGTGTCCCGAAGTTTCCAAATTGTAAATATACTGGGAACCAGGACAATAAAAAGGTGATTATCAAATGTGAAAAGGGTTATCCTGTGCACTATCAAGGAGACATTAAGACCTGTGAGAACTGACTTAACTCAGTGCATAAAGATGTTTCCATATATCTCTGTTCACTTTGATGTTCTGTCTGTTGAACGATAAAATCCTATGCAATTAGTACAAATGTTGTATGGCATGATTTGAATATGCATATATTGCACACATGTTTGATTGCTTGCAGTTTTCATTATTCAGTATGGTGTTAGAAACAGAAAATTGTGTAAAGAAGGACTTAAACTCTTGAGTAGTTGTTTTGTGTTGGGTTTTTACAACCAATGTTCAGATATCTAAAAAAAAAACAACTCCTCAGAGATACATATTAACCTAAAAGTTTTCCTAATTTAGGTCTGAATCAGGCATTGTAACTTTAAAGGGAAAAGAGCTGATAGCGATTCATATGTTCAGTGCAAAGTTAAGCCTTGTTCTTGAAAAAAAATTAAAAAAATAAAACCTTTACAAATTTCCTAATGTCTGCTTGTATTTCCTAAACATAAATATATGTAAAAGTAGCTCATTGCACCCAACAAATCCACAGGCAGGAAACTCTAAATAGAAGTGATAATGTGATATTGTAGACAGCCTTCTATTGGATCAGCCTCTGACATAACTGAGCACTAATATCTCAGAAAAGGTAAAACATCTTTCTTAGTATGTTCAATACAGTACGTAATGAGTTTGAAAGCTGTGGCTGTGGTCAGACAAACGGAGAAATCCCATCCCAAGTATTCAGAACCAGGGTTGGCAGATTTTTAATTTCATGACATATATTCTGTGATAATTATTTGTGTTCACTTTGAAAGATAGTAATTATATTTTATTTATGTTTGATGCATTATGTCAAAAATATATCACACCATAATTTAAAGTTTGGACTCTAGTTACAATTGAAACACATTAAAAAATACCATGAAACTTTATCAGACACAGTCTTCCAGCAATGAATCCATCAGGAAAAGGAACTAGATAATTGGATTTGAGTGTGAACAAAAGGTGGCAGCATTACAAAATGATAATAGTTATATGGTTTGTGCAGATGTCGGATATCAGAGTTAGGAAGTGAGGCAGTAACAAGGAGGGTCTACGGGCAAAACTAAGCATATATTCCCATCAGGAAAGAAATATGAAACATGTATTCAGACATACATGCATGCTATCACTCAGATTTCGGGTCTATTTAAAATGCATGTTTGATATATTTTTGGCAGGACGACAGATACCCCACACATGCACTGGGAGAACAGTAAGTATTCAAAATCAAAATTCAACACAAAGCTGTCTGTACCCCTGCTGTAAGTTCTGGCCCTTAACAGTCTGCTCTATATCATCAGACTTATTTTGAAATTTTGAAAATCCATTCAAGAGATGCATTCAATCTTAATCAAGTGTTTTGAAGCAGGAAAATGTCTAAAACCTGTAAGACATTCACCCTCAGGGAGTTTAAGATTCCTGTTTTAAATACAGTAAATCATACTGATCACTTTTGTTAAGACCACTTACTAATCTCTGAAATGGGCTCATTAGTTTCCCCACCATCAGTGCTTTTGCTGCTGCCCTGAAAGAGCTCTCACATAAGCTGAGCCCCTGTGTGTGTGTCTGTACAATTGTCCTTCTCCTGTCCCAAACCAGGTCGACTTAGTTCAAGTCGGGTTACTGGGTTTCAGGTCATCGGACTGCCGAAAAACAAATGCTCTTACTGGAAGCAAAAAGCTGTTGCAACAGACTCTTGCAAAAGCAATGCAGGTCAACCATCACCTTGTCTTCTGAAATACCAAAGTGTAAACACCAGTGGCTTCTAAAACCATTAGACCTCACCGATCAAGTTAGGCCTCCCACACCAGGCTGCTACACAACCATAAAGACACTGCACTCAGAATCAGTCTTTTAATGTGACTCAGACCACATTCGCACTTTGTTCTTTGACCTACTTGTTCTTTCTCTCTTGACTTGTTTCACATTAGAGCATTTTGATTAGAAATTGATGGCTGTTTAAACTGCGCTTGAAGGAAACGATTGAATCATTCAAAGCTAAATCAGAGATTAGACATGTTACATATGAGCCAAAGTTACTAAAGTAACTAAAGACAATGTCTTACTTAAATGAGTCGTGGCTTAGAAATTCTTCTTTACAAGAATTTTAAAAATGGCATTTTCAGTGAAATATTGAAAGAAGAAAAGGTCTATTGTGTTAACTCTAAAGTTGAAATATGGCACCTCTGACAAGAAAGTTTACGACAAACAAGCTCTGAGAATTGGATAGATGTGTGGTTGATTGTTGGTTCCAGTTAATAGTCTAGTCTTTTTACAGAAACAGAAGATATAAACTGTGCTCCTTGTTCTATTGTAAAGTATTTGTAGAATGAGCTTGTGTAAAGTTGGATTTGATATTGTTTGTAGCCTTGTTACTGTATTTACACAAAAGAGTAAATTAAACATCCCTTGCAGTTTAACAGCCTCTGACCTGAAAATCTGCCCCACTTTGTTTTATGATTAGGAACCCAAAGTCCAAACTGAATCCTATAAATAAGACAGTCCCACAGGGACTTACCACGGATCTCTGAGTCAACGATACAGGTAATTTTTATTCTTCAGTGGGTTTCGTTTATATAAACTTTTTGTTCAGTTATATGTAACATTAAACGACAATACAAAAATAAGAAGCCACATGTCTAAAAGTTTTGTATTTTATTTTATCTTAAATCTTTATCTTTGTACTTTTTCTTTACAGATCATCAAAGTCCAATTTTTTTGGAAAACGGTATGACTTTTGAATAACTGCTATTTAAGTATTGGAGTGTGATATACATTTTAAAACAATTACACATTTTCGTCTCCAGGGAATCATGAGGATCCAGTTCACATGTTTGCTTCTGCTTTCCACCACTGTTTTCTGTCAGGATACTCGTGCCCGTTATGAGAAGTTTATAAACCAGCATATCAAAGCTGACATGACAGCTGACCGATGTAATTCTGTAATCACTCAAAAACGGATCACCATAACCGACACCAATGACTGCAAACCGACCAACACCTTTATCAGAGCCACCACCAACCTTGTGAAACAAATCTGTCTACAAGCAGGAGAGCCCTACGGCACCATGAGAAAAAGTCTTCTGCCTTTCGACATTGTTGTTTGTAAGCTGAGAAACGAAGGGGCCAAGCGTCCACGCTGTGATTACAGAGGCCAAACGCGGACCAGGAGAATCGCAATCAATTGTTTGGATGGCTTTCCTGTGCACTTTGACAGAGATATTGTACACTTTGAAAACTGATTTTCTGCTCTGCCTTTCACTTTCTTGTTAATTAAAAATAGTCTTGGCAAATTAGTTTTTGGTTTTGTGGTCATGTTGTATAAAATAATGTGCAAACCCGCAAACACAGACATAAAAGTATATAGATATCGATATAAAGTTATCTATATTTATTCATATTTATTATAACACGGTCCTACCTCGATCCCTGGATAGGGAACATTTCCCAGCTTCATGACTTTGTTTCTCTAAGCCTTATCACCATGTCCTAAATGTATCACATGTGTCCTACAAGAAATAGCTGCGTGCTTTAGAATTTAAACTGCCATTAAAGTGAAATGAATGATGAAAAGTTTGGAGTGTACTATTATCAAGGCTTTGCGATCAGGGAAAATTAACTTTGATCAACTGGGATCAATTCTAATGCATCTGCTGACTTAGGCAAAACCAAGGGCCTCCACAAACAAATTAAATGAGCTTCATGAAGGCACAAGAGTGTTAGCGTAGAAATACGAACAAATCATGGAATTTTGTGAAAAGTATCTTCTAAAACTTTGGCTGAATTTGAAAACGTTAGTTTGTTTTTTCATAGCTGTTTAACAGAATAATAACATTTTTCTTTAAAATGCCTTGCAGACATTTTCATGGAATAACTGACATAGCCAGAAGATGGCAGCAGCGTGAAGCCATGCATGATCACATCATTTTGGGAACTTTGTCTCGCTGGCAGATGGACAGAAAAATTAATCCTATTTTAAACCTTACCCTCTATAATTTTTTTTTAAAAAGCATCAATTGTATCCAAAATGCAATTTGCATTAAGACTACCACTTTTTCTATCAGTTTAGCAAAGTTTCTGAAAACCTGGGTGACGACATTGACAACCTGCCTGCAGTATTGACATACTCTGACTGTATTGCATCAGACTTTAAGTCACATCCTGTTTATTGATGAAAAAACAATCCAAAGCATGCTTAGATCAGCTGCCAAGAATGAATACATGGGTGTCCTTCTCTCCTAAAACTTCTATGAACCAAAAACACTTTTTATTGAAATTCTCTATTCTTCTCACGCTCTGTCATTTTGAAAGAGTTAAATTGATACCCATCAGTGTTTCCTCCTGTAGAGTTTAATAAAATTAAAATTACACATTTATAAAACTGAAACTGAAACTAAAATTGGAATTTTTAACAACTGAAAATGACCTTGAATCTATAAGATTGGCTTAAAACTAGAAAGTTCTAAAGAAAATGAACAAACTCAAAAACTGTTGTTAAACCAAGGTAAAATGATACTTTTCATGTAATCTTAGCCCTCGTGCTTTGCCATCATAACTGTCCATAGCAGATGAGAGAACATGAGAGGCTGTAAACCAAAAAGCTCTGTTCTCAAACACCGATTGAATACATTTAATGTTTCTACTCTGCACAGTGCGGAGGTGTAACAACTCTGAAGCAAATAAATGTTTTTCATTTTTTGATACATCTTTACTTCCATGTATCAGAAAAAATGTCTCTTCCCACCACACAGTGGCAGCAGTGCAAAGGAAAAGTGCCTCCATTTAATGCATTTCTGGATCAAAACACGGACACTCATTTGATCATTGCTGCTTTGACATATTTAATGATAACTCAACTTTCTGTTCTTTGGTACAAAATAATAAAGCTGTGCAAAAAGATTATTTCTCTTGGGTTTGATAGGGTCTTTTTATTTTTAGAAGCAGTGGATGATACTGAACTCAGACCTTTGCATGGCATGATGAATATGGATAATTAATTTTCCTGCTCAAGTTTGTGATTGTTATTGGGTCAGGTTTTGCCCAGGACAACTACAATATGGAATTCTTCCAATAAAATCAGTTTTTATCATTAATTAGAATACTTTACATCTAACATCGTCACGTTGATGCTTCTGGCTGCACCTTCAGAGGTTTGGTGAACATAAAAAGCTTTTTTTCTGCACCCCAAGACATTATGAGTTAGCCATTGTTAAAAATGACATAAAAAAAACAGAAATTGTTGTGTCTTGCGGTGAACTTTTGACTTGCTGACTGAAACTGAAAGTTAGAGAGTGTGTTAAGCTTTGTTTAAAATGATGACCTAATGCATATTGGAGAGACCATTTGAACTTTGTTACAGTTACCAGAAAGACCAATTAAAAAGTTTTGAAGTAGTCCCCTCCCATTTCCTTATTTCCTCCCATTTTAATGCCACAGTGAGATTAATCCTTTTGTTTAACAGATGTCTCCAGTGAATTGACAGGACAATGTTGTTTTTGTTTTGTGTTCTTCTTGTGGTTCCATGCGGACGTGAGTATGATGACAAGCTTCTCTAATATTTCAGCAGTGTTGAACAGTATAGATATAAAATGAATAATTGGATTTGCAGGATGCATGGATTGCAAGAGCTTTGCATCAAAGACGGCCCATGTCGGAGACGATGTCACGCTCAAATGCGGCCGAGAATCATCATCAGTAGGATACTTATTTTGGATGAAACTTGTGGTTGGAAGCCTGCCTGAAATCTTGGGAGCAGCATACACATTTTCAAACGGCGTTGTGAAAACTCCTCCAGGAATTACTGCCGAAATAGAACGTGGAACATTTGTTCTTCGTATAACCAAAGCAAAGCTGAGCGACAATGCCATCTATTACTGTGAAGAAATTATCGAACTGCAGAAGAGATCTCTGAATATTACTTTTCTCAGAGTCAAAGGTGCAGTAAATGGAAAAATGAATAACTTAATCATAGCGTTGACCATGCTGATCATGATGCAATGTCTATTGAAATGAGAAGATAACCAAAGACTCTCCTCCTCTTTTAGAACAAAAAGATCCATTACCCTCGACCACCCCAGAGCCTCCAGCTGTCCCGGTCCAGCCAGGGGACTCTGACACTGTCCAGTGTTCAATTCTTTCTGAAAATAACAGTAAAATGTGTCCAGAATTTCATAAGCTGTGTGTGTTCCAAACCAAATCTGGTGAATCTCAGGCCACTGGGATGTGTAGTCATGACCAGAGTGGTGCTGAGAAAAACTTGACTCAAAAATGTCTTTGCAACTTCTCTCTGAGCAACATCAGCACCTCTGACTTTGGGATTTATTACTGTACTGGGGTCACATTAGAGCAGATGTGTTTTGGAAATGGAACAAAAATGGATGCGGAAGGTAAACCCTCATTTGCTTGAATCAATTTAACACTTTGCATGCCTAATGTCGGGTTACAACAACCCTGATCCAAAATTATTCTCTGATCTGATGTTTTATCATCTTCTAAAGCACAATTAGATTAACAATCATCTTTTAATAACACATTACCCTTTTTTCCTTTTTCTATAGCCTCCCGCCCTTTATCTGAATCCCCCACTACCACTGTGGTTCTGTTTTTATTGTGTGGTGCCTTGGCCGTGAGTTTAACTGTTATTGCTCTACTGATTTACACCATCAGGAAAAAGAACAAATGTGAGTGTTGCGAAGGTATAAAACACCAGTTTAAGAAAACAGTTATCTGTTTTTTTTCTCCTTTGGAATATTCGCTGCTGATTCTAATTCAGAATTTGTATTCTATAATGCAGGTGAAGTTTCTGCTGAAAACATTACTGGTCAACAAAATGAACAGGTAAGTTGATGTAAATATTTTACTGATAAATGAATGGGGTAATTAAACATGTTCTAATATTTTCGTCCTATTGCTACAGGCGGAAGAAGGTGATTTGGTTTATACTGTGGCACATTTCACAAAGAAGAAAACTGGTCAAAGAGCAAGAGAGCAAGAGACTACAATCTACAGTAATGTCAGAGCTTTGAGGTATGAATAGCTATTTACCAACTACGTTTGGATTCACATCTTTGATTCACATTAAGAAAATGGAAATGGAAATTATAACAAATGTAAGATATGTGCCTGAGGTCCGTGCCATGTATGACTCGAACATTGAGATGAAAGAGACAATGCTCAGTAAGGAAAAGATACAAAAATATCAACCATGTTTTACTGACGAGTGTTTTCCAAGATTTGATATGATATTCTTGAAGAAGAGCCAGAATTATTCTTGTATATGGATAACAGCTGTTGTAGTTTTGATTCACTTTGCGATTTGTCTCCAGTGTTCTTTTAGTTGATGGGAGCAGTTTGACTTTCAGTTTTGTTTCTGTTGTGAATGGAAACTTTGTGCTGAAGGAGTTTATTATGGTATATAATTTTGTATATAATATGTCATTAATATAATATTATATATAATAATATAATATCAAAACACAGCATGTATGGAAAATGCTGATTGTTGACTTTTTAAAGTGTTGCTGAAAGTATATGGGAGCTTTATCATTCACTTTAAATATCACTGCTTGCTACAGTTTAAAGTTTGAGTATGATTTTGATTAATTTTATGTGCTTTTAGGTCAGCCAAAATATATTTAGGTCTGCAAAACATTACTGTTGGAAGACCTTCAAAATAATTTACTCTGCAAGTACAAGATTTCTTGTGCTTATTTCATATTTTGCATGATGTAAATCGTAATCGTAAAACAATGTAATTAAGGAAGTCACGCACATTTAGTAAAGGAAACATTTTCTTGTTTTTTTAGAGGTAAATTACAAAAGTAAATGTTAAAGGTATTCAATTAATTCATCACTGGTTCTTCAAGACCTTTCAAAAAGGTACTTTGAAGTACTTTGAGTAGTCCGTTTTGCAGAATACAGTCAGAAAAACATTAGTTTTTTATTATCCATCTCAAACCTGTCATTACAGTATTCATCATTCCACATTTGAGATCAAAACTGTTCATTGCAAAAGTTAAAAATTCCACAAAAAAGCTCTCTTTCAAACCACAAAAGAAGAGAATTGAATTATTATGGATGAGAAAAAATTATGTATTTTGTACTTCTCATGACCCTCTGTGATTAGCTTAAACTTGTCAGGAAAACTTCTCATTCTGACAATGAAGGCCGACCTCTTGCCACTCCACCATGAGACATTAATTACATAAGGACCGTGTACAATCAAGTTTTAAAATGACAAAAAATAACAAATATAATTCTAGCATTGTGTAAATATTATTTTTCTACTTGTATTCTGCCTTTTGTGCTACCTGGACTTCTACATTTTCTGAATTTGTTGTGACACAGAGTTTCTGTTTTTGTTCCTGTATGCTTTTTTCATCAATAAAGTTATTGACTTGACTTTTGTTTTTTTGAGCAATTAACAGAGCACTTAATTTGCCTAAGTATTGGCCAGGGGTGCTACCTTTCCTTACCCCTGGAGCTGGGCATCAATTCTCCCATCACACAGACAATGAATACCAGAGAAGTCTACAGTAGATGTTTGTGGAAAGTCTAGAATAATGCTTTACTGAGCAGAACGGAAGTTGTTAAAAAAAACAGGATTTGGTGGTGGCCTATTTTAATCGCCTACAAAACCAAAAATGCCTGCACAACAGGAAACGCAGTTACGACATCTTCTAACGAGTGTCCATATCAGTCAGACAAATCTCATCCACCTCACACCGCCAACTGAACCATCTGCACCATCGAAATGTTGCGTCTTCATATCATATTCATGCTCGTTCATCAGGGATGTAAGTCCAGACCTTTCTCCAAGTTTTTCACTTGAGTGCTTTTTAGCATCCTCAACTTTTAATGTGTTAAAAAATAATGTTGGTGAGAGAACAGTACTTTTCTTTAAAAGCTACAGTACTTTTCTTTAAAAGCTACATTTTAGTGTTGCTGTGGTTATGCATTAATAAATATGCATTCAAAAAAATAATTTCTTCAAATTACCTTGTGTAATCATGTCTTGATATTTACTCAATATTAATTGCTTATTGGCGTTTGTTATTCTTTTGATACAGACTCGATGATCTCGGTGATGACAGCTCAATATGGTGAAGCGGTTACCTTTAAATGTTTGCTCCCCACTTATGAGAATAATAACAGCCGTATCAAGTGGTACAAGCAGAGTGTTGGTGATACACTTACATTAATCACCACACTGATGACAAATACTATCGAGCCTGCATTTGAAAAAGGATTTTCACCCTCACGGTTTAGTGCAAAATGCACTACTGGTGTGTGCACTCTGACCATTGCGAAGACAGAGCCAGAAGATGAGGCACTGTATCACTGTGGAACCTTTTCTTGGAGGTCCGATCGTTGGACTGGGACCTATTTATCTTTAAAAGGTAAGGCGCGTGTGTTTAATTGGCTAGTTTTTGAAGTTATAGTGTTCAACAACAGTCTTTTCCTACTTTTTTCTCTGTCTCTAAATCATTTTTACTGTTTTTTTTCTTACTTTGCCTTTTTTTGTTTTGTAGAAAACGACAAGCGAGCAAGAAAGTATACAGTTGTTCAGTGGCCAGGGATTTCAGAATCTGTTCAGCCTGGAAAAAATATGACTCTTCAATGTTCAATCCATCGTCATTCTGAGGATTCCTCCTGTCCACATGAGCACAGGGTGCACTGGTTTGCGGTCAGATCGGATCAGTCTCTGGGCAACGTCATTTACACCAGTGGAAATGGACCACATAAATCTGAATGCAAACCTGAGTCAAAAAGCTGTGTGTATCACTTCTCTAAGAACATCAGCTCGTCTGATGATGGGACTTACTACTGTGCTCTGGCCACATGCGGAGAGATATTATTTGGAGATGGAACAAAGCTAGACATACAGAGTAAGTTTGGGATGTGGTAAGTATTAAAGTCAGGACATTATATCACGTTTATTCAGATTCCTTTTTGTGTTTTAAGAACTTACAATATAGTTTTAAAAATGTGTTTGTTTGTTAGTTTTGATAGGGAAAAAATAATGAATAAGGATTAAGTAAGAAATTATTTTCAAATAGAAGTATTATAAGAAGATGTATTACTAACAAATGTTAACTTTTGTTGATTTTTTATATGGCAGGTACCAAGTTGGTCTCTGAGGTTTTCCAGATGGGAAATCAAATCACCTTTCTGTTCTTTGCGGTGTTGGCAACATGTGTGCCGGTTATACTCATCATGAAGAAAAACACATGGGATTCCTGCAATGGTGACGGATCCTATCTCGGAATTGATCATTTATATCCCTTTAATGCAACAATAATACCAAAGCTTTCTGATTTCTATTTCTATCCATTGACTGTTTTTGTCATTTCACTGCAGCTTTGTTTCTGCGAGAAAGTGTTGAAGAACGGAATGTCAGGGTAAGATTAGAGTGAAAGTATTGAAATAAAACATGAGTGTTGGTAAGGTGCATTCATTTTTCTTTAAATCTTTCCAGAAAGAAGAGAACAAATGGATTTACTCTACGGCTGTCTTTGAGGTTATAAAAACTTCAGAAAAATTGAAGAGAAAGTGAACATCTATTCTGCTTTTGGAGTGGACTGGCAAGTCGTCACCTGGGTTATTTGCATCAGCCTATAACACGCTCTGGGAAAAAAGGAAGAAGAAAACATGGTCTTGCTCTTGCGATTCCGCCCAATGGGTTACCGGTTTCTGTTTGGAGGTTCCAGGTAGCAGTGTAGTTATTGTCAAGTTTCATGTTTTATACATTTTTTAACGAGTCATGGCATTGACTCATTCTGAGGGACAAAATGTTGCCCCTGTGGCCAAATCTTTACTTATCTATTGTCAAAATGATCAGTAAATGAATTCATGTCTTTTTGGATGGAGATGTTTCTTTATATTTTCTTTATTTCTATATTTCTTTATGTATTTTTTATTTCTTTCTTTTGCTGGCCAATAAATTACTTAAACAACAATATTTGTTGTTTTCACATTTTTTTACATGGACAAAAAATGATTGAATTTGTTGAATATCTTTTGATTTAAATAATAGTCTAGTGCACACAAAGTGTTAAAACATCTCTGTATAGTTTTAATTCTCATCATAGGTGGGAGTTGGAAAGAAGAAGAACTAAAAGACTTAAGATTTTACTTTGACATCTTCTCCCTCATCACAAATAAAAACTGTTGCAGTTTCCTCCCTGCAGTCCTCTTATGACTGTCTCTGTCCATTTCTCGCTTTTGATATCACTTTACACTGAACATGCAGGACATTGAAATTTGGACACGGATTAAAATCTATTATTCAAGACCAGTTACATCAGCTTCTGTACAGTACAATTTACTCTGTATTAATGCCTTTACGTCATCAAAACTTTCACAGAGCAGCTAAACTGTCTTTTCCGTACTCTATGTGTTATATTTGGATTTTTGATTACTTCAGATAAATATGAAAATTAATTATTCTTGCAATCACTGATCGAAACAGCCTTTTAATTTCAACAAAATCTCCAAACAGAAAATAAACAGAAATATTGGCTTCAATGTTACTGTATAGTACAATATAAAACAATATTTGATAGCTTAGTCTCATCGCTATCAAGTCGATATGGCATTGATTCACAAACATTGTTCTGCCTGCAGTGACAGCTGTGTATGGCTTTGGACTTTTTCTCTGACACCACTATACACACACTCTGCATGGTCTCTCCTCTTGTTGCTGTGTGTGATGTTTTTTCTGGAAAAACTGAGTGCTGTATAGCTCAGTGCATATTCATCTTTGTCCTGTAGTAACATAAAAAAAGCTTGTTAATGGCCAACATTTAGCAAATTATACAATAAAGATAAAAAAAGATGTACTTTACTATGGTTTTAAGACTTTAGAATACTGTGTAGAGCCAAATGTGTACACAAAATGGAAGAGAAGAAAAGAGTCACGGTATATAATTGAAATAGTTACCAAATAACTCGATCGGTCTTCAGTCAAAACATCATTTCTTAGACAAGGAGAAACCCTGATTCCTGTTAAAAGGAGCACAGAATTTGAGATATACTCTGTAAACATGTCGGCCATTAAAGAATGAACAAAATGAGGATTCTACTGCACGTGCTATGAAACAATGGTAAAGTCATAAACAAATCAAAAATCTGTTTAAAAGTATTTGAATGATCAACCTTTGTGATGCTCACCCGCTCGCTCTCTATTTATGTAGAAAAGAAGAAAGACAATCACGATCACACAACAGACTAGGAGTCCTCCAAGGACACAAATCAGCAGGCCTGGTTTTGTTCCTGCAGAAAAACATATCAAGACATAATTTTCTACTTTTTATAAACACATTATAGTTAAGACATTAAAATGTCAATTTCCTAATGTAAATATTCTTGTATTTTAGTTTCCTCACATTTTCACCTCTTATTTCACCTCTTATCTTAATTTATTGAAATTTTAAAACAAAATATTGATAATAAATTTCCTTAAACAGAAACGCAAAGGATATATGAGACTGTATATACATACGTGTGTCCACTTGGGTTCCTTTACCGAACAGTATGTCTCCACAAGTAACTACAGCACAGTAGTAGGTCCCAGCGTCAGATGAGTCCTGCAATGTTCTGGAAAAACTGTACACACACTTTCTCCCGAAGTCGTCATCAGTGCTGTTGTTGTTTCGGTAAATAAAACTGGGTTGGGATTTTCCTGACCCAGCTCGGAACCAGTGGACACTGTTGCTACCTGGACACTTCACGGGACTTTGGTTTTTTTGGGAGAGCAGTGAACAGTGGAGTGTGACAGAGTCTCCCTCCCAGACTGCGGCCCTGTCAGGGGTTTGATCCACATAAACAGCTGTCTGCTGATCATCATCTGTAGAACATTTCAAGGTTTGATAAGAGGCGAATGCACTAAATGATTTATAGATTCCATAAGATTGTTGAAACATTTTGCATGTTACCTTTTACAGCTAAGTAAAATCCGTCGATGAAGGTTTGTAAATATTCTGTTCCACTTTGACAGAAGTATAGGGCTTCATCCTCTTTGTCCACAAAAGAGATGGTAAGTGACCATGTACCATTTGCTTTTTGGACTTGGTAACGTTGGTCTCTGAATGGCTCAGTTTTCTCTAATTTGGCATAAACTCCTGAGGCAATGGTTTGAGACATTTTTCCCAGAGCCTGTTTGTACCAATGAAGGAATCTATTTTTTTTAAGAATTGAACATCTGAAAGTAACATTGGCACCAAGTTCAAGTTCGGTCAGAGTTATATGACGAGGGACCTCTTCAGTCTGAATCAGGCCTAAAGACAAAAGAAAGCAACTTTTACAGTAATACAGAGAAAACTTAATGAAAAATGTAAATATATTTCCTAAGAAAATTTTTTGTGGATCTTTAGCATCTTCGTTAATCAAAAACTGCATCAGCTATGTGCTGCTGAAAAGTGGTGTTGTCAAAAGAGATTAAGTGAAAATGCACTTACAGATTGAACTGAGAATGATCAAAACAGTCAGACCTTCAGACATTGTTGTCCCGAGCTCCCTACGTCTTCCTACGAACTGATATGTTAGATCATTATGTGTTAAAGCTTTGTTTTGCAAAGTAAAGACAAGCTGATTGGTTGAAATGTAAATGAGCATCCGCCTACACTGACACACACACAACTCTATTTCCAGAGCAGCAAAGGATTATTCAGTCTGCTTTGTTTGATGTACATTCTGATAATTTAGGTCCGATGCTTGTCATTTAATTGCTGTTATTCCAATAAACACAATTTTAGATTCATGCAAATATAATAATCTCTAAATACATTCTATACAATAAACCACAATGTGAAATAATAAAGGTAATGGACTTGTAAAACGTACAAAAACTGCAGACGATTATTTGTAATAAGGAATAAATAATAAAAAGATCCTACATTCCTAATTACAATCTGCTTTTTGCAGACTCCAGTGTTTCTTCAGCCAGCATCGTGATGTCACCATCTGAATCCTTTTTCAATTTCCAGGTCTGAATCCAGTTCTCTGCCTGTTAAAAGGGAGTTTTATAGCACGTCCTGCTTTCAGTAACTTTCTGCACACATGTTCACTGAGGATTTGAGTACTTGAGTTGTCCACTGGTCAGCCACGACATCATATATAGCCTTACCCTGTTTGCTCTATGATTCATGATACATCTGAAGCCGCACTCTGTTTCTTGGTCAGCAGGACGACGTGTTGATACTCATCATTCTGTGGAAAAAAGCAGACAAACCAGGTGAAATGCTGTCATGCTGCAGACTGGCCAGCACAGTTGTCTTAAATCAAACCATAGTCCCTTCAAACTCTTTTAAAGATGATGTGCCAAATGAGAGGATGATGTCTTTTACTTTGCCAGGAGATGCCAGTGCAGAGAGGGTTTGTGGTTTTTGTTGTGTCTATGTTTCTTCATCACCAGTGACAGCCTTCCATTTTAGAGACACACTGCCAAATGGTACAATCCTAAAAATACAGATTTTTTTTGCCTGTAGAAAAATATCTAAAATGAACACTCTTAATGCATCTTCTACTGTTGGCTCATAAGCTTCCCTGAAACCACAAGTGGTGTCTATACTGAGAGGCAAGCTGTGGTTAGCCAGTTCTCCGCCCTTTGACCAGCTTTTTAAGTTGTTTCCTGTCAATTTTTTTTACTCAAGACATCAGCCGGAAGTACAGGGAATCTGAAACTACAAGAAGGCAGAGAAAAGAAAACGCCTCGTAGGGCTGATTTATTTTATCCGGCATGTAGTTATAAAGTAGCAGAATTATATAGTAAGCATTTATACAATCATCACTCATTTAAAAACCTTCTTTAAAATGCTGGATCTGCAAAAACATTAGTGTCCAAACTATAAGTGGGTGTCAGACTCAATACAGATTTTCACTTTGACTCACGTTTTTTTCTTCTGTGGGAGGAAGTGCAAACGCTCCCCCAACAACAGCGGCCGATCTTTCCTCCAAGCTCAAGTAAACACATTTAAATACTGCCAGATTACATTTTTGATGTGCAGTCTAAAAGTTGGGGGACATTTTTCCCCAGCAAAATCGTGATATTCGGTAATTTAGTTTTCCCCTCAATGCCGTAGTACAGCTGAAAAATAAAGACACAGCTTCTGATTTGATGATTGAAAACATAGATTTTGCTGACAGTCGCCTATTCTTCATCAGATGCCAATGAAGAAACTATGGAGAAATGTGATGAAGACATATTGGAATGCTTCCAAACCAGCCACCTGGAAAATTGGGAAAAGACATGGAAAAGTCACAAAAGTGTTTTTTTTTTAATGTAAACCATTATACTTTCTCATCTGGTTAAATTGTTTACTGTTGTTGTGATTATTGAAGGCCCCCTATCCAGGGAATTGCGGTTATGATGTGCTGTATCATTCAGGTATGTTATGTGTTCAACAATAAGACTGGATTATTCTTCCTCATCTGAACCACCTTGTTTAGACTTAGACTTAGACTGAACTTTATTGATCCCTTGGGAAGACTCCCTCAGGAAATTAAGGTTACCAGAAGATACTGGAGAGGCAGCCGTCTACACAGCGCCAGACAAAGATCTATGAACTTATCTTTACTATTGTTAGCCCAATTCTTTAGGCCTGGAGACATTTTGTTTTGTTTTGAATATTCAATACAAGGCTCTTCTCAAGAAAGTTGACAATACTGTTATATGAATTCAAAATGATGGTTAAAAGAGCTAACAAATGTTACTGGAGAATTCTAGCTCACTTATTCATTAAATCTTGCTAATCTGAATTTGATCTACCATGAAAGCTGAAAGTTAGCAGCATTTCGAGGTTCTTACAGCACTATAGCTTGAGTATTATAAGATGCATGTGTCCCTGTCAGACATTTGGTCACCTGCCCGACAAAAAATGGCAGAGATATTATTTTACATGAATTATGAAGTTTTTATCCAACAACAGTCATGTTAACACCAAATACATCATTTTCAAATTACTTTTCCTTGTTTCGCTGTCTAATTTAAGTTATGTTTTACACTGATTGTGTGTTCTGGTCTTTCTTACCCAGTCACACATATTGACGTTTTGTCACATACCATAGGACCCTAACCATTGATACTAAGTAAAGATCAACAGTGATTAAGGAAACCAAATATAACCCACCACTATGAGATGAAACACATTCTGGTGTTGTTGTTTATTGCTTAAGTGGGAAAGTTCTGGTTTATATGTTTCCGCTGCTTTGGTGAAGTGACATACAAACACAACAGGCCAATCAGACATCTTTAAAAGTGGTCCCTCCCATTCTATCGAAGTACATTAAAGGAAATCATCTTATAATGTATCTTAACTGCAGAAAAAAGATCAGAGAATGTGGATCGTGTTTTATCTACTGCTGCTGGTCCAAGCTGGGTGTAAGTAGATGAATGAAATTATCGTCCTCTTAGATGTCGTTTGAAAGTGATTCTTCTTATGATAATAGAATATATATAAAATATTTGTTTAAGATCTTTGTTTAGTTTGTTTAGTTAGCATTCTTTGTTCTATTTGTTTTCCAGGGTGCACATATGAAAAAAACTTTGTGACTACGACGGCTGGTGTTGGAGAAAATGTGATCCTAACATGTAACTACGACGAACCTAGAGGCATAGCTACTTTTTATTGGATCAGAGTTGTCTCTGGGACCATGCCTGAAATCATGGGGAGAGGATTTAACTTTGATTATGTTGATCCAATAGTGATTTCTCGTGTTACAACCAATCAAGAACCAAGAAGATTTGTTCTCAATATTACAAATGTGAACCTGAGTGACACAGCATTTTACTATTGTCTGATATCGCAACAACGGAAAATTAGTTTTCTAAAAGGAACATTTCTACGAATTACAGGTAAATCTAAAACCATAAAGTACCAAAAACTATGGATACTGAAAATAAAGTTGAGTTTCAATTATTGTTATGTCAATCATGGTTATTTAAACCCGGAAATATCTTTCTCCAGGTCCAGAACCAGATTTTACTGACGTCATTCAGAATAATCCATCTGTAGCAATTCATGCAGGAAACTCTGTTTCTTTGAATTGCTCGGTCCTCTTTGATTCAGAGAAGAAAACATGTCCAGAAGAACACAGGGTTTTCTGGTTCAGAGTCGCATCGGATAAATCCCAGCACACATTCCTTTATGGCCAGAGTGAAGGTGGTGGTGAATGTGTGAGGAGTCCTGAGAATCAGTCTCCCCAGAGCTGTGTGTACAGCTTCTTTAAGGGCAACGTCACCTCCACTGATGCTGGAACTTACTACTGTGCAGTGGCTGCATGTGGGAGGATAGTTTTTGGAAATGGATCTAAGGTCAACATTGAAGGTGACAAACATCACATTTTTATCACAATCTCTTTTTTTTATTATATTGAACCTGTATCTAAATGTATATGGTAATTAACTTACATGTATTTGATGTTTCAGTTGTCGGCACATATGATGCAGAGAAGACCAATAAGCTTCTTTATTTGCTCTGTGCTGCTTTGGCTGTGAGTCTGATTGTTACCTCGTTCCTTCTTTGTTCCATACGGAAAAAAACCTGTAACTGTAGCAACGGTAAGACTAAAAGCCTATTTCAGTCATGTAGAATTTCAAAAACTAACTTTAAACTTTAACTTTAATTTTCCTGTTGTATTAGATAATACAGCCTCGGCGTCACCTGGTGGAACAGCAAGAGGTCAGGACCAAAATCAACAAGTGGGTATTAGCTGATGAAAAATATATACAAATAGTGTCTGTGGGCTCTGCAGGTTTATGCATCAAAATGTAATCAACGGTTATGAATCTTTATTTTCTCAGAGAAATGAAGACTCTTTAGTTTATTCTAAAGTGATTTATCAGAGGAAGGCCAAAGCGGGAAGGCGAAAAGCAACGGCAAGGGAGGAGACGATCTACGCCGATGTAAGGGTTTTCTGAGATAAACCTTTACAATAACAATGTTATATCAATGTCCAAATTTAAAACTTTAACAATGTTAAAACTCTGGATACTCTTCGAATTGTACTCCTAGGTTAAGAACTTTAGATGTGATTTGGGTTATATATGACCCGAAAACATTTGCTGAAGGGGTATGATCTAGCCCCATTATTGTAAACGCAAAATAACCCTATTCCTTTTATATTTTGTTGCAAAACCCTCTCAAAAGGTTTTTGTTTTTCTGCATCTTCATGTAAAATATGAAAAGATAATTTTTTTTAGAACTTTTAGAAGTTTGGACAGTTTCTTTTTGACTATGTACAGAGGTGTCTTAACGTGTATTTCAAAAATCATCATCTCAAATTCAAAATTGCTGTGTTTTTATTTGACATATCAATATTGTGAAACAGTTTTCTTATTTTATCTGCATTAAATGTGCTGTCTAAATAAAGAATGGAAATTCAAACTTCTTACACTCAGCTATATTTATTAAAATGTATTTTTCATCTTGATAATGTTCCAGCATCAGTGCAGTGGTCAACATTATCATTACAATTATAGTTATAGCTGTCCAGTCGGTCACAAAGAGAGGCAAATGCTATCACTGGATTGCTGCTGTTGATGGTGGTTTAATTTAACAACAGAGTAAACACACTCTTGCTGGAGCTCTCTATTCTTTTCTTTCTTTTTCTTCCCCCTTTTTGATCTTCTTACTTGAAATTCCACCGATCCATAGTTCACTTCATTTGCTCGACCATCCTGTGAAATAGAGATGTTAGGCTTTTTTTTCCTGCCCATTTTTTTAAATGTTTCTGATGTTATTTTTAATTGCAGATACCATTTACTACATATTTACCAAATCATTTGACGACTCCCCACTTGAAATGTCATGTCCAGAACGATGGTGGCCAATATTATGTTCTGTGAAAAACAAGAGAGTCTTAGTTTTTCTCGATGGGAAACATTTTCATTTTCCATAGCTTTTTTAATACTTGTTCTATCTCATTCTTGGCCCTTTGAAAACCAGGAGCCTACCCCAGCTGTTGCTGAACAGGTTCATCACAGGATAACACAGAAACAAACAACTAGGAACATGCACACTCTTTAATAAATAAACATGAATATTTAGGATGGTGTGAGGAAGCCAGAGTACCTGGAGAAAACCACACAATCATGGGTGGGACATGGAAACAAAAAGCACCACCATGCAGCCCAGATACTCATTTTATGTTACAAAACGTTGTGTAACATGTTCTATAGTCTATAGAAAAGAGGAGTGGAAAGGATCTCTAAAGGCTCATTTTACAATAACTCTCCAACTGAAAATTGGCGAGAGAAGAATCAGAGAAGCAAAATCCTGGTTCGATGTTGTTGAAGTGATGAAATCCATCCTGTAGCCATGGGATCTACTTTAGCCTTTTCAAACATCTCCTGTCTTGGTGCTGATCTGATGTCTCAAAATATTTGACTTGAGAATGTCTCTTCTTTGGCTGTTATCTTCCCGGATATGCTATCAGTATTCAGTCATTAAGATGTGTGTAATTACAGGTTAACACCTATGGCCAAAAAATATGCTCTGGAAAAGGTTCCACATCATAACCTGATAACGTTTTTCTTAAAGAAGAAGATAATGACAAATATGTGTCAGTATTTAATAAACCTACCTTTGCAATGACTGCAGACTTTTTTTTGCTTTACATAAAGAACACAGAGGACAGTCAGAGTAACTGAGCAGGCCAACAGTCCTCCAAGCACGACGACAACAGGATCCAGTTCTGGTTCTGGTTTGGAAGAAACACAACATAATGGGAAATCTACAGTTTTTTAATTTGGTATACATTCAGTCTTGTTGTCTCGTCCAGCATCACATATTGACCTACTTTTCTCCACTCTCGTCTCACCACTGAACATGATCCGCCCACATGTGACCACAGCACAGTAAAAAGTCGCAGCATCAGAGAGGCCGTCCCTTGAAAGACTATAAGAACAGCCTTTCTCCATGTCTTCATTGCTAATGTTCCTCTGTGTGAAAAGGATTCCAGGATGAAACCCCTCCAATCCACTTCTGAGCCAGTACACACCGTGATCACCTTGACACCGCGCTCCACTTTCCTTCTTCTTGCGACAAAGTGGACATTGAAGAGCCACAGTGTCTCTGGGCTCAACCAAATCTGCATTTGGACTTTGTTTGAAATGAACAGATTCCTGCTGATTGTACTCTGTAATAATCAGTAAAAAAAAAAATTAAACTAATACATAATCCACTTTCTGATTGCATGATAAAAGAAGAGATCATAGAGATTGAAAGAGAAGATAAAAGACAATGATCTTACCAATCACAGCCAAAAATGTGCCGTTGACAAATGTGTCTGAAAGTCTTGATCGCGTCTGACAGTAATATGCTGCCTCGTCTCCTTTGGTCACATTTGGAATAATCAGAAGATGCTGTGACTCCTCTACTACAATTCTGAACCGTGAATCAGACATTCTTTTATAAGCATTCACAACAGAAGCTACCTCTTGGAACATATGCCCAAGGGGCTGCTTATACCAGGTGAGTGAGTAAAGCGCTTTCTCAGAAGCTTTACAATAAAGAGCAGCATTGTCACCCAGCTTCACCACAGTCAAAGAGATTGGGGACGAAACCTCTATTGTTTGAATCAGAGCTGTAGGAAAAAATCTGAATTACCAATTACGTCACAAAAGTTCAAATGCTGTTACAAATGTGGAAGAATGGCTCTGCATTCACATGAACTGTGAATGCGCAGCGCAAATCTTAATCAATATTGTTTTCTTTTCAATTCTAGTAAAGAATTAAACTCACATGCTGTACCAAGTAAGATGCAGGCAGCCAGTCTCACAGTCATTGTTTTATAGCCGGTCTAGAACTGCTGTTGTCCTCTCGACCAAATGGAGCGGTTAAGTGGGGAGGTAATCAAAGCTTCAAATGCAGGACTCAATGATTGGCTGACATGTAAAAGAGGAAGTTACTACTGCTTTAAGTAAACTTGAATGTGTTCCTCATTACTAAGAAATATTTCCAAACTTCGCATACACATATATTAGATTTTTTTTAGGAGATGACCATGGTGAACCCTTCATAACTAGAGGGAGGCGAAGTGTGAATATAATAATACATATTACGACATTAAAGACACAAACCAAAAAATTACAACCGGAGAGGCTGACCAAAGGTAGTAACAACAAACCAAAGCAAAGACTGAGGGTTTAAACATAGGAAACCTAAATCACTCTATCAAGATATTCTAAGATTATTATAAACTGAGAGTCATTTAATTGCTTTCTCTACAAACCTAACATCTGTATTTAGGATTTTCTCTGGTTCTATCGAAAATGAAAGCCTCTCTAAAGGAAAGTTGTGGATAAAAGTTCAAGTCCTTGGCCATGATTATTGATGGTGTTATTGTTGGTGATTGGATGGAATTTTCAATCTTAAGAATAATGCCCCAGATATTCCATCATATTTTGGAGCTGCTTGCTTCGTGGCATTTTGGTAAAGAACATGAAGTTAAAGTGACCCTAAACCTTGAATCATCATCTTTATGGGTGAAACGTTAACATAGTAAAATCATGACATTTCCTACCACTTCAGGAATAGTATGTCTCTATCTTTTTCTTGTCCTAAAACTTTTCTCATATCATTTTACACTTTTAAACTGCCATTCAATATGTTCAGTGTACTAATGAAAGTACAGAGCAGGCTAGCATGCATGTACAAGTTTGTCCATTTCTGTCCATCTACAATCATTTTGCCAACATTAGTTATTTTGCAAGTTCTCTTTAACCTCATTGTTTCTGTCTTGAAAGAAAGCCACCTTCAGCACCCCCAATGAGACACAAACCCGTGGTTTACTTCCTCTGGCCTTTGACCAAACACAGGAGCTGTTTAAAACACTGACACCTGACTAACCCCTGAACAGATAAGCAGTGTGAAAAGAGTACTGAGAGGCTCAGGTTTTACTTGGTTTCAATTTTCTTGGTTTATATAATTCCAATAAGCTATGTATCTATATTATGTGGAAAGATCTTTCCAAAAGGCTTTCATGATATGTTTGGCACGCTAGAAATAAATTCAAAGTCAGGATCCTGCAAAAATGTCTATCTATGATCTACTGGTGTCTCCATTGAATCACATAAAAGCATGGTCAAAAACAGGCAAACAAATGAGTGTCCACTTCACAGATGTCTTCAGCTGTAAAAACAGTATAACATTAGTAAACTTACATTTACATTTATAAGGGATTAAAGACCAGTGGAAGGCCATCTTCTTTGAAGGCATAACTACTGCAATGCTATCATTTCCATGCATCACTTTTATCTATCTTACTCTGTTCCAAGCAGCACCGAGGACTCAGAACATAAACCAGATAGAAATGTGGTAAAAAAAACAGTTTTATAAACTGATGAATGTGAAGATAACACCACATGCAGCAGCTACAATGACAAAAGCTGTGATGTGCTCAGAACTTACTCAGAACAGACCTGACTGAGCTGCAACCACAAGTGAGAAATGGTCTACAAGATGCCTGAAGGTGCAAAAGTCAGTCAAAAAAATGTTACATGACATTGTTTCTTTCTCCATCGTGTCATTTTTTTTGTATATGCATAAAAGTTGTGTTGTTTCTTTCGTAAGGTCAATCCATCAAATTGCCGTGCGATGCAAGCCCTCTGATAATATACCCGTCAATTGTTTCCAAAGGAATATACATTAAATATGATTTAAAAAAACTAAATAGTTGTGTTGCACTCCCCTGTTAAAACATATACAATGCCAGTTCAAGACCAGTTTCCTGTGTTTGAAGCAAAGGTTCAGACAGGAAGACAGACCCTTTCACACCCTTAAAAACCAACCACAATAAGTTTCCAAGCATCATATTTCTGCCTTATTCTCTTTAAGCAGCAAACAGGGCAAATGCATGCAGAAAATATGGAGAGCACAAACATTGCCTACATGTAAAATTGTCAAGCTTGCGTTTACTTTCATATTATTCTGATATTTCGTTATATTTACTCATTTTCACTGATAGTTTAATTTATCCTGTGTTAACCTTTCTCCATGTTCGGTTATACTTACAATGCGAATTGAAGTAAGGATTTATTTTACCGATTTAAAATAACACAAAACCAGTTTTAGTGCTCAGAGACCTTGATTTAGATTTTCTAATGAACTCGAGAGAAGAAACAGGAAAAGCTTTTTTAGTCACAAGGTGTGACATCATAGAAAATCCCCGCCTGGTTATGTACAACTGAGGCACTGAATGATGATCATCTGTATATTGATCCAGCTGAAGACCATAATTTTAGATTCTCTGGTCTTTACACTGCACTTTATTAGGGGTTCCTCTCAATGTTGTAGAGTCAAAATAGTCCAGTTTTTAAATGTTTACATGATTGCCATTTTTCAAATCAATTCAACGTGTATGTTTTTTCTCTGATAATGAAAGTCTCACAGTAATGTTACAGAGGTAGATCAATCGTCGGAATTACAGCTGTACTCTCCTTCTAGTATACCGTATACACACATACACTCATGAGCGACTGTGAGACCTCAGTTTAAGTCATAAACTGAGATGAGGTTTCAGTTTGGAAGCCTCTTATACAATTTCAGTTACCCTCTGTGATACTTCAATCATTACAACAAAGGGGCAGATTAATCTTTTTGTCACACAAGTACACAAGTCTCTTGTCACTCAAGTCTCTCGCATTTCAATTTCACTAAGTGTTCCACTTTTTTTTTTTTTGCTTTGGGTCGTGGCCAAAAGAAAGAGACTGCAGATACGACTGAAATGGGTTTCCCCCACAGGGTGTCTGGGCTCTTGGTGAGAAGCTCAGTCACCCAAGAGATCATCAAGAGAAACCAGTTGAGGATGCTCAGGCGTCCGATTAAGATCCCCGGTGAGGTGTTCCTAGCACCTCCCACTAGGGGGAGAGCCAGAGAACGGTGTAGAGACTATGTTTCTCGCCTTCGGATCCCCCCGAAGGACCTGGCAGACTGACAGGGGAGAGGGAAGTCTGGGCCTCCTTGCTGAGGCTGTTAACCATTTGAACCAAACCAGGAGCTCTATAATATGTTTCTTTTTGTACTTACATGTGCCTAAATCAATAGCAGTCATTTCGATCTGTGAGATATACAGGCCAGGTGAAATGAACCACACTGATGGCTTTCACCATGATTTTTGCATTCACAATTCTTTTCTCACTGTTTGTCATGCAAAAAATGCTTTAATTTGTGCTTTTAGTGAACATCTTTTTTCTTGGGGGTATCAGGATGCAAAAAATGAGAAAACCAGAGTAGACCTATTTTTCTAGAGATCAACTTGTTATTTTAGATATTCTTTATCACTTCCTGTTTTATATCTTATTTTGTCTTAATGCATTTGTGTTTTTTATACTTCCTGCTCTTTTACATCAGCCGTGTATTTTTTGGGATAGTTTGTTGACATCAGCACATGTATGCTCTTTGGATGTTTAGTTTTCCTCTTTGGAAAAAAAATAAACCCCGTGTAATCTACATCATTACAGCAAATAACTTGCTGCAAGTATGAAAACAACTTTTCAAACCACTTTATATTTTGTATCACAAAGTAACTCTACCTACTGTTTAAATTGTGTTTTAAATCTTTTTCTCATATATACATAATTGGTCTCACATCATTTTTAAAGTCATAACAGTGAAGATAACACCACATGCAGCAGCTACAATGACAAAAGCTGTGATGCGCCTTTTCTCCATCCTTTGACCAACCACAGAAGCTGTTGACTCAGAACAAACCTGACTGAGCCCCGACCACAAGTGAGAATTTATCTACAAGAAGCATGAACAGACAAAAGTCAGGCTAGAGTCAGTCAAAAATATGTTACATGACGTTGTTAGTTTGTCCCTCATGTTATTTTTTTTGTATGTGCATAAAAGTTGCATGATGGATGTGAAAAAAAAAATTTTTTTCACATGGTATATAAAAAATTTTTTTAAACTAAATAGTTGTGTTGCACTCCCCTGTTAAAACAAGTACAATGCCAGTTTAAGACCAGTTTCCTGTGTTTGAAGCAAAGGTTTAGACAGGAAGACAGACCCTTTCACACCCTTAAAAACCAACCACAGTAAAGTTTCCACGCCTCATTTATTTCTGCCTTGTTCTCTTTAAGCAGCAAACAGAGCAAGTGCATGCAGAAAAGATGGAGAGCACTAGCATGGCCTATATTTAAAAATGTCAAGCCACTGTTTAGTTTGAAATTATACTTATATTTTTTATGAGTATCATTTATCGTGTGTTAACCCTTCTGCATGTTCAGGTTATATCTGCTATGTGGAGGAAACAGGTTGTCAGAGAGTCAGGATTTGGTTTACTGATATAAACTGAAAGGCCAAAAAAAGGTCAGTTTTAATACTCAGATACCTTCATTTAGATAATCTGGTAAACTCAAGGGAAAAAAATGGAGGTGCTTTTTTAGTCAGAAGGTGTGACATCTACACAAAGCCCCGCCTGCAGTCAAAATGTAGACGCCCAGGTTATGTGCAACTGAAACGCTGATTATAAAGTGTGGTCAGACCAACTTGTGATTATCAGTACGTTGATCCAGATAAAGACCACAAATCTGGACGTTCCGGTCTTCAGTTTCATTCTGCAAATAGTCGTGTTTTGGTTTGAAGTTTATTTTTATTTCCTAGCTCTAACCTTAACCACTAACCTTATCTCCACCTTTCAAAGGTGATAGTTCAAGTCTCCCCCCCCCCCTCCTCCTAACATAACTAACACAGAGACCTCTCAAAGCTGTGCCCTTACGGCTTCAGGTACACATTTTAGTTAAATTTAAGATTATGAGCTTCGAATTAGCTGCTTTATGTACAAACATAAACAAAATGGATTATTCTTTTTTTCCACTGTTTTTTCCTTACTGTTACATGAGTATGATGTTTTATTTGGTTCGTTAAATATGTTTAATGGCTGAGACCACGCAGTCTGTTTTGCACCACCAAGATGATTGCATGAATCCCTTAATTTAAAGAAGAAATGATGGACTATGGCTGCATATTTTCTGCCTTTAGCCACTCTAACCGGGAAAGGGGGACCTGGAGCTGCTGTCAATTTGAACTGAGAACAGGTGGATACCTACTAGTGTTACTGTGTTTATACTAACATTGCTAATCTGGATTCACTGTAAGAGGTATTCTAGAAAGAGTTAATACTCAACCTGGCAATTTGTCGTCCAAAAATAAATAATATGTGCCTATGTTCCCTAAATTTGTGCATGACTGACAGGGTAAATTTTCATTAAAAAAAAGGAATACTTATCTACTTCATTTTTTCCTACAATGAACACTAAAACAAACAAACAAAAAGGTTCCGGCGTGTTATTCACATTGTTTAATAATTGTAAAAGAAAATTTTTTGGGTTGGTGGTGATCACATCTTTGTTTCAATAAATCGAGCAGGAAAAATATAGACAATCCTCTTTAAATATAAAACTCTTCATGCTGGTATCTGCAACGCGACTGTTCATTTACCATGTGTGACTGAAAGGAACCCAGCATGAAATATGAAATGAAAGCTTTTTGTTGGTGTTTTTTTATGTGTTTAGGAAAGAAGGTTGGTTTTATTTCCTCTGTGGTAGTACTACACCAACACAGCAAAAGGCCAATCAGATGGTTCTGAAACTGTTTCCTCCCACTTTACATGGTTACATTAAATAGAATCTTCTTGTGATGGTAATTAAGATTTGCTCTTTCATTAAAAAAGCAACCAGCGGACTGATGAGGAAATGCTTATCATCTTCTTTTTAATCGTCATGCTCAAAGTCGGGCGTAAGTGTGTATAATCGTGTTCGTTGCATCTTTTTGCGCCTGTTTTTTAAAAGATCTGGCACACACATTGTGTTTCTCTGTTTTCTGTTGTGATTTTGTTTTTAGGATGCTCAGACAATTTGATGCTGGAACTGAAGACTGTTACGAATGGGGATTATGTGACTCTCACCTGTTCCCGTCTGAATACAGAATTTGATGCAACCCTGCATTGGGTCAGATTTGTCTCCGGGAACCAGCCTGAATATCTAGGAGGAACATTTTCCTTTGATTATGATGTTGTGAACAAGACTCCTCACTTCACAGTAAAACAAGAGCCTGGGAACTTTACTCTTCACATCAGTAAAAGTAATCTGAGTGATGCTGGCCTGTATTACTGTATAAAAATAGACACACTTGATCTGACATTTTTGAAAGGAACATTTCTGAGAGTTAAAGGTAAATTGCTTATTATCTAAATTTTTTCTGAATGTTTTTATTCACATTTTCACGTTCCTTTCTTTGTTACGCATTTGAAATATATTACTTATCGGCTGCTATTTCTTTACCAGGACCTTCGCCAAACATCTCTGTCATCGTTCAGGAGCCTCCATCTGTTTTAGTCCATCCAGGAGATCCAGTGAGTCTTCAGTGTTCGGTCCTCTTTTACGCTGAGAGGAAAACCTGTCCAGCAGAACACAGTGTGTACTGGTTCAGAGCTGGAACAGATGAGTCTCACCCCAGCTTAATTTATACTAATGGAAACAGTGGTGATGGATGCAAGAGTCGTCTCGAGGCTAACTCAGAAAAGAAATGTATCTACAGCTTCTCTAAGAACATCAGTCCCTCTGATGCTGGCACTTACTACTGTGCTGTGGCTACATGTGGAGAGATATTATTTGGAAATGGCACCGAACTGGACATTGGAGGTATTTACAGAAAATTGTATTTAAAAGTGTCAACATTATAGTTCTTATCATCAAAGTATTGACTAAATCCCTCCAAGTCAATCAGAAGTGTTAACTGGTACCCGTGTGATTTTGCAGTGCCCGGTGTGTGGGATCTGCAGACGGCCAACACCGTTATCCTCCTCCTATCCACTGTTTTGACTGCAAGTGTGATCATTATCTGCATCCTCACTTGTTTCATCAAGAAAAAAACCTGTGGATGTTGTGAGGGTAGTTGAGCGTGTCTCATTGTTTTACTGGACATGATCGTGGCCTTACATTATCTATCTAACGTTCTCCTGCTGTTCATCCGACAGATACTGTGACAGGTAGAGATCAACAGGGTCAACAGGTAAGGTACAATGACCATATGTGTTCTTTGCACCCTCTCCCTTCTAAAAATAACTTTGCAATAATTTTTCTTTAAATCAGAGAGATGCCAACCTGTTGACCTATTCTACACCAACATTCACCATGAGGAATACCAACAGGGCAAAGAAAAGGAATGAACCAACATTGGAGGCAATCTACACTGGTATTGCGCACTAGACTCCGAAGCCAAAGATTATTTTTTTTTTCATTTATGGTTTTAAGAGTTTAACTTGATGATGATATTATGTAATGAATTCATGAAAAAATGTAACATATCCTGTTATTTCAAATTTGCTTTTGTACATGAGTTTATCCTTTTCTATTGAGAAGTCTGGCTAGATAAAGAAGATCAAAAATTTAGTAACGTAATTTTTATTCTTTATTTCCTTATTTCACAATTACTAGTTATAACACATGTAAGATGTTACATCAATCTTACATAATTTGATTGACAATTTGTATATTTTCATCCTTCTTCATGTTTATTTTAATTGCCATAGTGTGTTTGGTAAAATGAAAACAGCAGTGGAAGAATGTGAGGCTCCAAAAGAGTGAATCAACCACAGTGCTCAAAAACTCATATTAAATTGTTTCAGTTAAGTAATTAACATCTTTGCAATTTTGCAATGACATTGTTTTGTTGCAACCCAGAGCAGTTTATCACAACTTCTCCTGAAATACAAAAAATGGAATGATTCCCATAGAATATGGCTAGAATATTACTTTCTGGCATGTTGAGCAAAATCCTTGAGAATAATGTTTATTCTGATATGGAAATTTACGATGCTCATGAAGACAGCAGTAGATGATGCCTTTGGCAAGAAGAGCCAACCATTCGCTGTTTATAATCAAGGAATTAGTGGAGGTGCGATCTGCTTATAAACATATAATATCCGCATTCAGCTTTTAGTTTGATGACTATGAGCACAATGAATTACCCCTGAGTCATCAAACTAACATGATTACCCCCACTTCACAAGTTCTCGTTTTTTCTTTGAGTCAGACTGTTTGAATCTGTCTCTTGGCAGTTGTATGTTAAATTGTTTGTGAATGTATGTTTTTCTAAACTTTCTGTCAGCACCATGCTTGCCTTCAAACTAATTTACCTTTCTAATAAATCGATGTAACATTTGAGTGCCTCCACTATCTCTTGGGCCTTATTGTTTTCATCAAACTAAGTTGTAAAACTGTGAAATTGCAACTCTAGAAATCATATCTAAACTAGCCCTCAACTTAAGTGTGACGATGGTCTGTTTCTTTTCTGTTTTATTCAATTTGGATACTACTGATGACTTTTTTTTTTAGTATCTATTTGTGGGATCATTTGAAAGACTGTTTAAAGGTGTGGTATAAGCAAGAGGAAATAGGGTCCAAACCACAAAGAGAGTCACAAGGTGAAGAACTCAAAAGCTGTCTGTAAGAGACGTCATGTGTAACTCAGTTAAATTAACAACAACATTTTTAAAAATTCAAAAACAATTAAAGGCTAAAGTCACACTCCTATTATACATACAGTAGATGTCAACATGGTCAATAAAGGGGTTAAAATTAGAGTGTGTTCAATTGGGCGGCATCCGCACCTTTTATTAATCTAATAGGGTTTCTGTGTTTCTGCTTTATTAATCCTGTTTATGTAAATCCTAATTAGCTCACTTGTACTCATTATTTGTCTTTGTTCTAAAATTATTAATCAAGGATAGAAGACATTTTGACTGTTTAGCTGAACCAGCATTTTTTAAGCATGAACTTCTGTCATGAAATCCGGATTTATTACAAAATTAAACTTGCAGACACATGGTGAATACTATTACACTGTTCAAAATATTAAAAACCAATGTATAAAGGTGTCTGATTGAACAAACTATTGTCATTCTCAGAGTGCACAGTTGTCAGGGCAACAAGAAGCAAAACCACATCATCCACAATGACACAGAAAAAAATTGTAGCGCGCTACTTTGACATCCTTTGACCATCTACTGCAGCTGTCTACGCAGAACAGGCCTGACTACAAACTAAACCACACTTCAACTAAGAGAAGAGCTGCTAAATCAAACGATGCACAAAAAAAGGATGTAAAAAATAATTTGGCAAACATTTAGAAGTGGATGAAGCTGAGCACCTTGTGTAACATATCAGCTAAAGATGAACCTCACAGTCTAACTGAACAGCAGGGAGTCTGCGTCCGAAAGTTGTTTCCATTCTGTGTTTTTGTGAATTATTAAGATTCTAATCTTGATTGCAGTTACTACAATTGAATTTGAATTGTCTTTAAAGGGTTTAAAAAAGCAGTTTGAAGGCCAGTTTTGTGAGACAGAGAAAATGACAGGAAATAAAAAAACACCCCACACTGAGAGTGAAACCACCACAGGGCTAAACTTTCCATGCATCATTTGTTTGTCATTGTGACTAAAATGGTTTGTCTGTCTCTTCAAACCTTATGCATTCATAGTAAAAGCAAACAAAAAATCAAACTGACTTAATGTATTACAGACACCAAGTTTTAATTAGCTTATTACAGCTGGTACCTTTCCCATGTCCATCCTTTTAAATTTGTGTTGTGTTGTGTTTAATAGGGCAGTTAGTCTGCCAGTAATAACTTCAGTAAATTAATGTTTTAATTCTACTTTAGTGGTCAATTATCAAAGAGAAAAAGAAAGGATATGTGGGCTTAGAGATGTCCCACAGTGGAAGTTGAGGGATTTTTTTTTCAATCATTGCAGACCAGCATGGTTTGTGGTCAGCAACAAATTGTGGTCAACAAAGGCCACAAACTAAATCATTCCATCATATACAGATTCCTGTCACCATGCCTCATGTACTGTACTGGTCAGATTCCTCCAGCCAGTGTTGACAGGTCAAGGGTCATCCTGAATATCAAAGTTCTCTGTTCATTTCTATATCTTAAAATGTTGCAAACAATCATTTTCAAATCCGCTCTAAACATAAGCTGTCTAGGAGATTCTTACAGAATCAGAGGAAGTAACACCAAATCAGTTTCTGTATTTTTTTTAAATGTTATTCTGCGACAGGCGGTCAGGTTAAACTTAAAATGAGTCAATTTTAAGCTTATAGCTGGTGATTTTGAGATTGCTTTTCAACAAAATACAATGTCTAATTTGACCATCATAAAAAATTCACGACACATATTTGTAATGATGTTTTTTTTTTATTCCCTATTATTGTGTTACTACATCGTCAGTATGACTCAAATAGGAACTCTCTCCTCAATCTTGTCAAGGACTTTTCAAAGCATAGGGTTAGGTTTAGAAACTGCTGCTGTTTAAATGGCAAATAGACAAAAATAAGAAAATTTCTGAGTAATGCCTGACAAACCCGCCAGCACGCACAACACAAAACCGCAGATGAACACAACGACCTGACATCCTGCTCTTTAGTTTAACGCTGCAAACTCATTTCGATAACATGATGATTCTGAAAACTTAATATAAGAAATGCTTCTTTTCTTTAGATAAAAAGTGTATTTATCTTACTAACACGGGAAATCTGTTTTTTTGTCTTCTGAAAGTAAAAATATTTTAATCACATGTTCATGATAGTCAAGCGAAGACCAGCTTCACAAGGTCTGATAAATAAAATACATTACATCAGTAGTATTTAGTATTTAAAGAGAAATCTTTGTTTTAGGAACTCTGCTCTAATTTATGAAGACATGATTGAATAAGAAAAGGGCAACACCATTTTTCAAGTTTCATTTATAAAAAGAAAAAAAACACAGTCTCAGAAATAAGATGACAGGGGTCTGCGGCTGGTGTTTTCATGTGTGTTTAAGTAGGAAAGGTGGGTCGTAATTTCCACTGTGGTAGAATCAAAAAGCAATGAGTGAAGAGCCAATCAGATCACTGTGAATCTGTAACCTTCCGTTTTATATGATTACATTTGACTGAATCATTTCTGAAACGATGTGATGTAGAGCTGTCTTGGCTGGAAGACGTTCAAAATGCTGATTGTATTTTACTTTCTGCTAATGCTCACAGATGGATGTAAGTAGAAACTCTTTAAAATGCAGAAGACACTTTAAGTTTTTTGGGTTAGTTTTGAGCGTTCATGTAATTCTGTTTGTGATGTACAACTTTTCAGGGTGTGCAATCGATCCAATCTTAGAGACGAAAACCAATCATGTTGGCAGTCAAGTGACTCTCACATGTCCCCGCAAGTCTGCAGGAACCTTCTCTTGGATGAGGGTTAATTTTGGGAGCACTCCAGAGATCTTAGGAGAAGAACCAAAAAAATATAATCATATTACAGTTAAACAAGAGCCTGGAATATTCGAACTAAGAATTCTAAAATCAAAACTAAGTGACACTGGATTTTATTTCTGTATCAGAAAATATCATCAAAAAATGGAACTGTTGACTATAACATACCTGAGGACTGAAGGTAAGTACATTAAAAAACATCTTGATTTTCTGAAAATGGGATGAAATAGCTTGTTTGAATTCTCTAATGTTTGCATATGCATTGACATATGCACACATAATACATTTATAAATAAGTTTTGTTTTAGAAGTCCTTTTGAAAGTTGGTCTTAAACGATAAAAACAAATGCTTTTTCTATTTTTTGTGTACAAGAACCTGTCACCACAGCTCCTCCATCTCCTCTGTTCCATCAAGAGGACTCGGTGACTCTGAAATGTTCAGTCCTTCATGATTCACAGAATACATCGTGTCCGGCAGATGAAAACATATTCTGTCTTACTGCTAAGTATAATCAATGTCACTCAAGTTTGAATTACTCCAAAGAAGGACAGGGCGGATATTTGAACAACTCTTTATCAGTCACAGCGAAGAAATGTCTCCACAGCTACTTAAAACACTTCAGTTCCTCTGATGTTCAGACGTATTACTGTGCTGTCGCCACATGTGAGGAGAGAGTGATGGAAAATCAATCAAAACCAAACAAAGGTACCCGTGTTGTACTCATGCATATATTCATGGTTGTTTCTCAGATTAGGGATTATGTGAAAAATAACATAAAATTCACTGTTAACCATTTCTCATTTTTATTTGATGTCAGCAGTGAACCTCTGCAGTTCAAAGGATGTTTTTTCCATCGTGTTTTACCTGTTATGTGCTGCTGTGGCCATGAGTGTCATTCTTATCGGCTTCCTTGCGTATACAATCAGGAAACTTCGGAAGAAAATAAAGGAATATAGTACCGGTAAATTGAGATAACTCACAAAATCATCCGACGCATTGCACTTTGCAGCGCTGGACTCACATTCCTGCTCCACTGTGTTCTGTTGTTCAGTTGCCGTCGCCCAGCAAAGACAAACCTCAACCAGAGAAAACCAAGGAAGTCAGCAGGTAAGGAAGAATACCCCAAATCTGTATATTGATATGGATGCAAGTTGTCATATTGCTTGAATCTGAACATTTTTTGTTTCCTTAGACAGATGAGGACTCCTTGATTTATTCAACAGTTGCTTTCACGAGAACAAAAATGAGCCAAACAGCAAAAAGGGCCAATAAAAGCGATGAGGAAGAGACCATCTTCACTGATGTCTGTGATCCTGGGCTTTGATAGTGTTAAGCTAAGCAGCATTGTGTGACTATTTGATTGCCATAACAAATGTATTTATTCCTGAATGTATCAGTGGAAAATTTGCACCATTTGTTGTGTGTGAAGAAGTGTGTTGGGCAGGTGTGTTTCTGCACAACCTGACCTGCTAACCTGCTAACCTGAAAGTGATTTTGGCTTTCCTGCTTTTGTGGAAATGTCTAAGTACATACTGTACTGAAATCAATTTACTGGCTATTGTAAAGAGAGTTTTTTAGTTTTTTTTTTTTTTTTTTTTAAATAAAACAGTAATTTAATGAACAGCATCTGGAAAAGAGGTTTCTTGTCCTCTTTTAAAATGGCAGGTTTCTGTGTGCGGCAGCCGCTATTTAACATCACTTGTGAAATTTCAATATAGTGTTTATGCAGTTTATACTGCACATTTGGGTCAATCTTTTATCTTTTTCATGATTTTTGTTTTTATTGTTTAGAGAGACTTCAATGCTTCTTCCTGTGTGACTGGTAGTTAAAGTGAAAGCATCCTCACCGAATCGAGATGAGACTCCCTTCTCAGTGTATTGTCTCTGAGTGTGAATATTTGGTTTGCACCAGTTGTTGTGAAGACGCAGAGAGAACATAAGGCATAAGGAAACAACACAGATATTAAAAGGCACAAAACCAAAAGAAAAAAAAGTCAAGGTTATTAGCAACGATCACTAATAAACAACTCAAATTTATTCAACACTTCTTGAGGTGTAAAAGGAATTTAAATTTTGTTTTGTTCATTAAGATAATGAATTACACTTAGAACTATGTTGTATTCCCTCCTTGTCACTCTGTATCACCAATTACATAGAAGAAGACGATTACCCATAGCAATAAAACAAATGTATGGTTTAAGGGAGATGTAAAAAGAAATGAATCCTAAAGAAATAATCAATAAAATGGTGTTTTTATTGACACTTTACCTTAGAGATTGGTGAACAGAGGTGTAGGCTTAGCGTTGTAGGAGACGAGTTGAATATTTGATTGAATTTCACAATTTGTATTTTTAGGCATTCGCAAGTAGACGTTTGACTGTATGTCATAGTGTTAGCTAAAGTTTATTGCATTGTATATACCATACCTTGCTCATCTTATGTCATTAGACCTGACGGAAAAGCAAGCTTCATACGAATCAGTTTTGTCCATTCTTGTACATTTGAACTATTAGCAGGTTCATTAAGGTGATTGTGCACATTCACTGTGGACGGTCGAATAAAAAAAAGGGTTAACAAATCATCTACATGTTGAACTTCCCCATTTCTGCATCTCGATTTTTGTAATTATTGGCTCAAAGTAAACAAGCAAGTGTGTGTGGGTGGGTAGATTAGTAGATATGATAAGACATGACAGAACCATGAAACAAGATGGCAGCTGTGTTCCAGTAAAGCAATGTTTAACACAGAGACTTTACAGGTAGTCCTTCGGGTTGGAAGCACCTGAAGAGAAAGCCAATGACTCTCAGAATTAAATTTGATTTAGTCCACCCACAATTAGTGTGTCAATTCCATCTTTAAGTCAGCATCAAAAGCTATTTCAATTTTTTTGAAAGTCATAGGAAGTCAATAAGTTAAGATAAGATAAGAGCTTTATTGATCTCACAGTGGAGAAATTCACTGGAAGGTACATTTTTACTTGGAAAAAGGGAGTTCATGTAGTTTCACATGAAGCATACACAGTAAAGATGTAAAAATCGATATATCTACAACATTTTCCACTGCAGATGTACAGTATGCTAGTTTCTTTGTCAGCTGCTATAATCGTATATGATAGTGTGAAAAAAAACATGTTTTACAGCAATCATGATCTACCCATTCAAGAGTGACTTAGAGAGTGTATATATATATATATTATATAATTATTTATATAGTATTATTTATTATACTGCATATATTTACTTTTATCCACTCATATGACATTTTAAATCATCCCACAGTGAAGATATTCAACGTTTAACTTCCGAATATACACACTCAGTTTTTAACGTCTTCTTTCTTCTTGTTTCTCTAGAAAAAGGTAATGCAGCGTAGTTCAGATGCGGTTCACTTTCAGTCTGTGTGACAAATAAACGGGTGAATGTCAAGTCATGTGGTTACATCAGTGTAATGGAAATAGTTCAGACTAAATATGAACATCGTTTGATCTCAATACTTACAATATCATCTCT